CGGACAAAAAAACTAGGCCTAAGGTATCGTGTTTATTTATAAGGCAATAAATAGTTGAATTTTAAAAAATAAAATGAACAATCGATTAATTTACTAATAAAACACATTCATAGCTTTAAAATTAACAAAAAAATAAATGGGGCACCAAAAGTGTTCGAACCATCGACCAATATTTTATAAAAACCTGGATCGGAACCACTTAACCAAAAATCATAAAAAATTTTCTAAAAATTTTTGAAAGAATTTTGTAGCCAGGAATGGTTTTTAAATAAGGTAATATGGTTTTAAATAAGGTATTAAATAAGGTATTTTGTCAAATACCTTATTTTTTGCTGTATTTGTAAAAACCTTCCCCACTCTTAACACCCAATTTGCCTTCAGCTACAAGCTTGTCCAAAGTTGCAATGGGTTGGAATAAAGGTTCATTTGGGTACTTTTCATGCCATCCTATATAAAATAAAATTGAATTAGAATAAAATTTGAGGCGGAAAAATCCGCAAATAAATTGCGGACAAAAATTTTTTGTCCGCAAATAAATTGCGGACAAAAATTTTTTGTCCGCAAAAATTTTGCGGACAAAAAAAGTCCGCAAGATTTTTGCGGACAAAAATTAAAAAACAAATAAACCTTTAACAATAAATTGTGTAGTATCCAACCCAACATAATCAGACAATTGAAACGGTCCCATAGGATAACCAGCTCCCAACTTCATTGCCAAATCGATATCCTCTTTGCTAGCGTCTCCTCTATCAAACATTCGAATTGCCTCCAACATGTACGGGACGAGAAGGCGGTTGACAATAAATCCGGGAGTGTCCTAAAAATAATTTTTTTAGAATTTTCATTAAAATTTAAAAAACCTTGCAAACAACGGTGACCTTTCCAATATCCTTTCCAAATTTCATAAGGCGTTGAAATGTGTCTTCACTAGTTTGGTCAAATTTTACAACCTTAAAAAAATTTTTCTGAAGATTTTTTGTCAAGTTTTGGGTAGTTAAGAAACCAGAAAATACAAAAAATCAAAGAAAAATAATGGGGGCACCCAAAGGGTTCGAACCATCGACCATTAAAAGTAAAAACCTGGATCGGATCCACTTAACCAAAAATGTAAAAACCTCAAGCAGTTTCATAACAGGAACAGGGTTGAAAAAGTGAAGACCACCAAAAAGTTCCTTGTGTTTTAAATTTGCTGCAATATCCGCCAATTTTAAAGAAGAGGTGTTTGTGGCCAAGATTGTTCCACTGAAAATTTTAGAAATATTTAAGAAAAGGAATTTTGAAAGTTAGTGGCCCCATTTTCATTTCTTCTTTAGTTTTGCCTCTAGTAACAAAATCTGTAAAGGTCCCATGAGGATTGCAGTTGAAAAAGAAAAGAATACCAAAAAATTGAATTTTTGGTTAAGTGGTCCCGTCTAGGTTTTGGCTTTTAATGGTCGATGGTTCGAACCCTTTTAGTGCCCAGTTATTTCTCTAGTATTCCACAAGGGAGTCCAAGTCTTATATGTCTAAATCCGAGCAAATCAAGACAAAAGAAAATAAGAAATAACGAAAAAAGCCTCCAAAATCACCCGAAAATTCCCCACAAAAATTACAAAAAACCTCTTAACAGCATTCTCAACTCTATCAAGCAAATTTTGTTTAACTTCAACATTTTCCACAATAGCTTCAATAACTAAATCAGCCTTAGAAACAGCTTCGGCAACATTTGTCGACACCGCAATATTTTTTAAAACTTTGTCAATCAAATTTTTTTGTTGCTAAAATAAATGGGTTTTAATTTAGTTTATAAGTCCAATGAAGGCGAAAAAATCCCCCAATACAGATTTTTGGCAGCCGAGACTCCAACAATTCTAATGGTCCAATGTTTGGACTTCTGATCTTTTAAGGGACTCGTAAAGCCTTATTGGACTCATAAACTAGACTAGTGCCAATAAATTTTCCAATTTTTAAAAGAAAAATTCCCCAACCTTCTCGTCACTTTCATACTGCTTTTTGGCAACCCTTTTTACACTAGATTCTATCCCTTTAATAGATTTGTCCAATATTGCTTGAGTTTGGTCAACTAAAGTAACGTTCATGTTTGCCTGAGCGCTGACCTGGAATTAAAAAATTTCTGGGTTAGGAACGGAAAAAGTTGAAAACCCTCTTATCCCAAGGGTCTAAACTAGGGATATTTGAGAATTATCCAAAATCCAACACCCGAAACTTCAACAATTTTTAGATCCAAAATCCGATACCTGATCCCAGCAATCTTAGAAAACTCGATCCGACTTTTTCCCCTGCCCGCAATATCCCAAGGCCTAGACTACTAACAGGGTCAATAAATTGATGAAAACACTTCAGACCTCCAATAAAGTTTAAAAAACCTGAGCAATTCCCGATCCCATAAGACCACTCCCTATAATTGTAACATTTTTGATAGTTGAAGCAGTAGCGAAAGAACGTGAGGCAAGTTGAAGACGATTAAACATCATTATAAATGCAAAAATGTAAAAATTGACTAAAAAAACTGAAAAAATTGAAGAAAAAAGCCTAAAAACAACCAAAAAACTGCAAAAAAATTAAATAATAAAGAGATAACAATGTGCTCATATTTCACCAATACGACATTTTGCCAATAAGAGTAAAATAACGCATTTTGTCAACGGTCTTGTTGACAAAATGCGAATTTTTAGCCTAGCTGGCAAAATGTCTATTGGCAAAATAAGGGCCAATGTAAATACGAAAGGAAAAAGACGAGAGAAAATGATGAAAAAAGGAAGGCTCCCATACAAAATCTCTATTCCTTAAAATCGCTATTCCTTAAAATCTCTACTGGGCTAAAAATGCTTAAAATCTCTATTCCTTAAAATAATTATTCCTTAAAATCTCTACTGGGGTAAAAATAATTAAAATCTCTACACCGCGCAAATTGACGGTTGAGTCTCAACAAAAGTACCATCTGAATCTTTCGCTGGAAAAACCAGACTTGTTAATGGATATGGATACAATTGGTTTAAAATGGCTGCCATATCCGCCTGTATCCGCCTTAAATATCGAAAATATAAGACACGACTGCTTCGCTGCGGTCGTGTTCATTTTCCTTGCGTTGATCGTATCGAAGCGGCTGCTGTCGTCCCGCTAGACATGCCTGGCTGGGTTCATCCGCACCGGCAAAAACTATACAAGCAAAATAATATCAAAAGATAATCCAGAAATCAGAACAATGTTTCCGCACTTAACGTTGGTACTCAAAAGGCTTCAATGAAAAATAGACATTTTATCCTATATTTGGCAGTGTAGAGATTTTAAGGCATTTTTCCCGTGTAGAGATTATGAGGAATAGAGATTTTAAGGAATAGTTATTTTAATCATTTTTAGCCGAGTAGAGATTTTAGTGCATTTTAGCTGTGTAGAGATTATAAGGCATTTTAGCCCAGTAGAGATTTTAAGGAATAGAGATTTTGAGGGGATACGAAAAAGGAAAAGATAGAAAGAAAATTGAGAGTGTATTAATAAATAAGAGAGTGTTAGAGAGATAAACAAATAAAAGTTTAGACAGCTACAAAAAAGGCGGAAATTTGAAAATTTAAATAAACGGCGTTTTTCTTGTAGTTTGTTTTTTAAGCGCAACTTTTTTATTTCTGAAGCTTTCGGAGCGAGTGATATATCAATCGAAAGCTCTCGATGTGAGGATTATTTGATTTTAAAAAATTAGAGATTTGAGCATTTTACTAAAAGTTCTGCTCAAATTTCTTGATTGTATTCTCTCAAAGATGCAGACTTTGATTAGTTTTTGGTTCATAACTTTTTTATTTTATGACCTTTATGAATGAATCTTATATCAATCGAAAGCTCTCGATTTGCTGATTATTTTTATAAAAGAGACTGGACCGATCTCTTAATTCTATAAAAGGTTATACTCATAAGAGCAGAGCTACCTTGATAAGAGCTGACAATGATTCAATTTTTGTTTAGAACTTTTTTATTTCTTGACATTCTGAGGTAATCTATATATCTTTCGAAAGCTCACATTATGAGGATTCATTTAGCTGAAGAGACCTAAGCGATCCCACCATCTCATCAAAAGTTATGTTGAAAAGAGCAGGGTTACCCTGATAATTTATTCCGATTTTCCAGCCTTACTAAAATTTTCAAAAAAATTTTTCCTAAGTTTTCTTATTATTTTGCTCAATATAAAGTATATATTAGAACACGGTTTCGTATTTCACTCCATCCATCAAACCCTTTTGCCCTTTAAAACATAAAAATGAGGGATTTAAAGCATTGATTGAGTGACTTGGGCTTTTTAGATAATATTTTTAAGCTGTCAGGGCATGTCAAAGGTAAAATGATCGGTAAAAGTAAAATAATAAGCCTACTTTAAATCAAAGTTATTCATCATTTTTGCTGATTTTTAAGCTTAAAGAGCTTTAAATTGTTTTTAGAGATTGCTAAGTAAAAATAGACGAAATTTCGAAATATTCTCGAAGTTTCGAAATTTGAGAACATCGAAATAGTTCAAACTTCTTTAATGCTAGTCATTTTCTGAACATCTCTAGTTGGGATACGATATTTAAAAGTTAATTGGTGACCATATGGGCGAGTTGATGCCCCTCTATTTAAGATACAACTCATTATTATATGCAAATTTTTAATCCTCATGGGCTGATTGTCCTGGGGGTTTTAATCCTTAGTGGATTTTCTATAGTGAAATTATTAACTCAAGCTAGCATCTATCGTTAGAAAGTTTCCTTCACCAAAACACAACAGTTATAGTTTAGTAGTCCTCCTTATGAATCATGACCACTAAACATTGAAGGCAATTTCGTTTAAAAATTTTTAAACTTTTCCTAGTCGTGAATAACACATTTTTCTAGATCTAAAAATTAATTTCCCCTTAGAAAGCCCCCCTTTAAACTCAAAGCAAACTGAAGTTCTCCAATTGCAGCAGAGATAGCCACAATGCTAGCCCAGCAATTGTTAGTTCAACACCAACACGTTTGGAACGAAAATTTTTTATGAATTCCGCAAAAAATTTATTTTTGAGTGTTGGGGCCCTGTGCTCCTTTGTTATTCTTGTTTTATTATTTGGATTAATTTTTTATAAATTATTTGGAGGCAGTGGAGAGGGAGATTTGTTGGTTATTGGAGGAGAACAGGCAAGTTATAATCGAATTTAAATTTTTAAAATTTTTCTATTTTTAAATCACGAAATTTCGTGACCGTGTAAATGCAAAATTTTGTGAAAATTTAAAAAAGTAATTTTAATTATTCGAAAAAATCAGTTGGCGCCAAAATACCTCTGCGCCGAAGTAGTCATTTAAAGCCGTTTAATTGCAGCATTTTCTAAGGTAAATATAGGAGTCATTTCGGCGCGGAAAACTAGAGCGCATTATAAAAATAATTTTTTAAATTAATAATTAAGGTCCTACAATTGGAATAAATTTTCAGAAAAAATATTTTTAAATTATTTAAGGCCCGTAATCATTTAAAAAATTATTTTTAAAGAAATCAACGAAAATACCCACAATTTCACCGTCTTTTAAAGAGTCATCTGCAACAAATCGCCCAACCTCAACCAACAAAACAAGTGTTTTGTCCAATTGGAGGGGATTTAAGAGATTATGGAAGGCTAATAATGAGTTAGAAAGGGCTCAATTAATTGTACAAAATGTTAATATGAATCCGAATTCGACGTGGAGTGCAAGATTGAATAAATATACTATTGGGTAAGTTACATAACTCCTCCGAAGGGAACATACCCCTTCGAAGGGAACATACCCCTCCGAAGGGAACATACCCCTCCGAAGGGAACATATCCCTCCGAAGGGAACATACCCTTCCGAAGGGAACATACCCCTCCGAAGGGAACATACCCTCCGAAGGAAACATACCCTCCGAAGGGAACCAAAACTTTGCAATACCCGTCCGAAAGGAACATACCCCTCCGAAGGGAACATACACTGAAAAATACAAAATTATGTTTTCAGTATCAAATCATTAAATGAGATGATCAATTTTACTGATAGCTTTGATCCACTCAATTCTACATATATGATGGACCCTGCAAGGCTTAAATCTCTCGAAGACTATTTGGATACGGTATTTTGGGTTTTTTAGTGTTTTATCTCAGAAAAAATACAGGTCTTCAAGCAACACTATACCGAGCACCTAACAAACCTCGAGCAACAATTAAGACCCATTCCTGAACGTTTCAATGCTGCACAAAGATGGGGTGATTGCGCGCAGTCAATACTTCGAGTTAGAGACCAAGGCGGTTGTGGGTCTTGTTGGGTAAATTATGGGAAAGTTGTTGGATTTTTATTTAAATTTAAAGGCTGTCGCTGCCATATCTGTGATTTCTGATAGAATTTGTATTGCGTCTGAAGGGAGGGAAAGAAGTGGCATTTCGGCGCAACAATTAGTAGAGTGCTGTGATTATTGTGGAGGGTTAGTGAAAGTATTTGTTTGGGGAACATTCCGTAGGAATGGAATATACTCACCTGTAGACTTTGTGAAGAGAAGATACACCTCTGAAGAGAACATAACCCTCCGACGGGAACATACACTCCCGAACGAAACATACCCAGTATGAAAGTAACATACCCCTCCGAAGGGAACATACACCTCCGAACGGAACATGCCCATTATGAACGTAACATGGCCCTCCGAAGGGAACATGCCCCTCCGAGTGGAACATACACCTCCGAACGAAACATGCCCCCTATGAAAGTAACATGCCCCTCCGTGGGTTCCTTGTGAAGGGGACATTTTATGTTCCTTGTGAAGGGAACATAAATGCATAAATTCCAGACTATGACATTTCATCCCAAAATTTAAAATTTTATTAAATTATTTAATTCTTTCAGCTGTACAGGAGCTCCAAACTCCTTCTTTCCCTTTCTTTACTGGCATATGGAAGGATTAGTTAATGATCGTTGCTTCCCTTATACAATAGCCAGAGATTGTGGAGCCCCCTGTCCACCTACAGAATTTCAAAATCCCCGAGGCTTAGGCTCATGTTCTTTGGGCAAAACAAAGTGTGCGGATGAATATTTACAGGCTACTAATTATAAAGGTAACGCGATTAAAAAAATTTTTTTTGAAGATTTTACTTAATATATTTTATTTCAAATATTGTTGTTGTTAAGTTATTGAAATATTATTTTTAGTAATTTGTAATGCGAAAAATAATTTTTGGGCCGGGGGTTAGCGCTGATCCCTAAAATGCTTTCTAATCCAAATTTTAGTGAGGAATAGGTTGTTGGACCCTATCCCAAAAGAAGGGTCGAATCGTTTTTTTCCTTACTTTTTATTTCTTTATAAAAATGGTCAATTTTCCTTAAAGTTGATGTGTGTTGATGTTTGCCTTAAGAAAGAATGGAGAAGGACAGACAATGACAGATGAGATGACGGACAGACAAGACACGGACGTGTACATCCTTGTTTTGTCCGTCCGAGTCTGTCCGTGTTCGTCCGAGTTTTGACTGTCCGAGTTCGTAAGACAAAGCACGGACGAACTCGGACAGACAGAACACGGACGGACCCAGACAGACAAAAAACGGACAGACAAAACTCGGACGAACACGGACGGACGAACTCGGACAGAAAAAACACGGACAGACAAAACTCGGACGAACACGGACTGACGAACTCGGACAGAAAAAACACGGACAGACAAAACACGGACGAACTCGGATAGAAAAGACACGGACAGACTCGGACAGACAAAACTCGGACGAACACAGACAGACTCGGACGGACAAAACAAGGACGTACACGTCCGTGTCTTGTCTGGCCGTCGTGTCTTCTGTCATTGTCTGTCCTTCTCCATTCTTTCTTAAGGCAAACATCAACACACATCAACTTTAAGGAAAATTGACCATTTTTATAAAGAAATAAAAAGTAAGGAAAAAAAACGATTCGACCCTTCTTTTGGGATAGGGCCGGTTGTTGGATAGTTGGAAATCTTTGGCTATTTGGATCTGGATTCGATGCTGAAACGAAAATTTCAGATTCGGATTTGGAATCGAACTTTTTATTTTCAAAATTTTCGCCTCCGAGATAAAAATTTGAGAACAATGGAGTGATACTTGTGATAAAATGTTCATTCGAAGAGGTGGAGATTTGATTTCTAGCTTGGTTTATGCAAGAGTTATAGCCAAAAATAGGGGAGTAGTCAAGCATTTAACTCTAATTAACTTGATCTCCTTTAAAAATTTTTTTCCCCCAAAAAAATTTCAGCCAAATATGTCTACAAAATTGGAAGTTTGGAAGAAGACGATTCTGTTAATCAGTTCCCCAAGCCTTTAACTAGCAGACTAAAAATGAATGAAACTGGGGAATTTAATGGGAGAATAGGAGGAATTGTTGAATTGCTTAAACGAGAAATAATGACACATGGACCTGTAAGAATATTAAAAAATTTTTTTTTTGTTTTTTAAAATGTTTATTTTGAATTTTAAAAACTCAAATTTAAAAAATGGTCTCGAATTTAAGTCTATTTTTTTGAAAAAATTAATTTTTTATTTGGCGCCAAATTTAATCTGCGCCGAAAATGCTGCTGTAAAGGAAAAGCAGCTGTCGCTACTTTCCTTAATTTTAAGAGATATTTCGGCGCAGAAAAATATTGGCGTAAAAATAAAAAAAAATTTTTAAAAGAAAGCTACTAAAAATTACTAAATTAATCTAAGTTAAGATAAGATTAAAAGATAAATAAAATTATGAATAAAAATTTTTAAAAAATATTAAGGTGATGCTTTGCTTTAGCGTTTTTGAGAGCTTTATGCACTACCACGATGGTCATTATTTAATTAAAAATTTTAAAAATAAATTTAAAATATTCTAAAAATATTTTCAGGTGTCTACAATTTTGATTTACAACCAGGGGAACAACATGTATATGATCATTGTGCAAAAATAATAGGTTGGGGACGGCAGAGGAGACCGAACAGTGTGGGGGTGCAGAACTATTTAATTGCTGGTAATTCTAAAACTTTAAAAATCAGAATTCTGATTAACTTGGAGGACTTGGAAAACTATAAAAAATCAGAATTTAATCAGAAATTCTGAAAATAATTCTGAAAATAATTCTGAAAAAAATCAGAAAATCCCCCTCAGTACTCAAAACTGACATTACCCTAAAATACAACATACCTCTACATTTTTACCCATAACTTTGGTTAAATCGAACCGAAAAATCTGAAATTTTGTGAATAATTGAAGGACATATAGAATAGTATCTGTACAAAATTTTGGAAATTTTCGACCTTCCTCAACGCTTTTATGAATTTTCAAATTTAATTAAAAGTTCTATTAACGCCAAAAGTTCTGCGCCGAAATTACCCCTAAATTCCCCACCACATTTTTCTATTCAAAGAAAATTTGGGGTCATTTCGGCGCAAACCAAACAAATTTATTTAAATTTTAACTGTTAAGTAAACAGTTGGGGCTCATTGTGGGCAAAAGATGGCACGTTCAAAATCGACGTGGATAGACTTTCTTATTTTCACAGTGATTTGTTTGCTGGAGTGCCTGATATTTAAAAAATACTTTTTAATTAATTAATGTCTTTAAGAGCTTCTTGAAATAAAATTTTCTTTTTTTTCATTCAATTAAAACAGCTACCCCTAATAAATCGAAATGTAATATACCATGGATAAACTCTGTCTTTAGTCAAATATGAATTTTTTTGGATCAACACCCATTTTATATGTAATTATTTCAAATTTATTTAATATGCAAAAATTCAATTAATTTGATCTATCAGCATTTACAGAAAAAGAATAACGGCTTTTCAAACTTAACAAAATTTTATATTTTTGGATAGAGAGAAAAATGTACTCTCTAAATAATTATTTCAAATTGTTGTGGGAGATTATCAGTTTCGGATCTGGATAACAGTAAATATCGGTTCAGGTCCTAGAATTAGGGAAAAATGAAGGAAATCGTTCATCTTGTTATTTCAAACTTTTCAATATTTTTGTCGGAAGCGCTTTTCTCCTTAATCAGCAATCTGATCATTCCTACTCATAAATTCTGATTATTGGATTAAGAAATTCTGGTCTTTTCTGCAGCAAATTTTCTCTGATTTTTCTCGGAATCAGGATTTCTGACAATGCCAAGGACTTTATTTTTGTCTGCAAATAATTCTTTATTTTTATAAAATTTACTTAATATAAAAAAATTCAATTAATTCTATTTATCATTATTTACATTAATTAAAACATGCTTTTCTGGGATTTTTTTCTTTTTTTTTCTAATATTTTTGAATAGGGAGCAATAAATACTCTCTAAATAATTATTTAAATTTTAAGGTGTTATAAAATTATCAGTTGCCGTCAGTCATTGTCTTTTAAATGAAACAAGGCTAATTTTCATTATATTCCTGTCAATGGCTTTTGCTAATGATTTGAAGGCTCGAATTAAAAAAAACACCAGAAATTAGCTTCAACAGACGCGTAGTTGCTCGTAATGAAAAGTAGAATAAGGTCCTTTAGAACAGAAATACGTCGTAGATGACGAAGGTACTGCAATTCGGAACTGTCGGAAATCGGAATTCCAACCAACCTCTGCTTTAGGGAGCCCAATCTCTCAATAATTTACCCACAAAAATTGCTTCGTTCTCCGTCAAGTCTCAAGTTTTCTAGATTAACACTGAATATATAATTATTCCAAATTTACTTAATATGCAAAAATTGAATTAATTCAATTTATTAAAATTTACAAATTATTCAACATGAGTTGTGAGTCCAAGTAGTTGCCTATATTTTTGGATAGAGAGAAGTAATTGCTCTCTAGATAATTGTCTAAGCTTTCATGTTTATCGTTATATTTCTTCAATGGCCTTTGCTGATGATTTGAAGGCTCGGAGTAAAAAAACACAAAAACGAGGGTTGACAGAGAGATGAAAGGCAGAATCCTTTAGAATAAGAGTCGTCGGAAACGTCGAGGGTGCTGGAATTTGTACTATCGAAAATCGGAATTCCAACCGATTTCTGTTTTAGGGAGCCCAATCTTTCAATAATTTACACAAGAAAATTGTCCGCAAACCGCAAACAAAAAAATTTTTTTAAAAAATATTACTTACAAGCATTAAAAAATTCTGGATTACTCAAGTAAATACAAAATATAATTTCCAGTACATATATATTTTCAAGTACTTTTTTGTTTGGTACAAAAGCGGCGAGTTGTTGAATTTTTTTAGCATATTTTTGAGAGATACTTGAAATTCTTTTTTGGTTGTTATGGTCAGTTTTGTGTGTTATTTACATTAGGTATTTGTCCAAAAAATATTTTTTGACCAATTAATTGTTTAATAAAAAACAAATAAATTTTCATTGTTTTTATTTGGTCTATTCTGATTTAAGGGAAAGCAAGTATTTGTTATTTTATTTGTTCTGGTTTACTAATTATTTATTTTCTATGGTTGGGGTAAATTATTTAGGGAGTAATTTCTCCCTATTCAAAAATAACTCACACGCTTACAAACGAGAACAGTAATGAATACCTTCAATGTAAAGTCTAATAAAAAATTAATTGAAATTTTATATATTAAGTGGATTTAGATTAAATATATTTCTAAGAGGTTAATTGCTAAAGGGTAACCAAATAAATTTTCATTGGTTGTCTCTGTTTGTTCTGGTTTCCCAATTATTTGGTCATTGAACAAAACAAATTGTAATTCTTTTGGGTCAACCAAATAATTGGTTATTCTGGTTTTCTAATTAGGGTTTTTTATTTTATTTGTTCTGGTTTGATAAACTCGAACCAGAACAAATACCTCTATAAAGAATAAAAAAATTCCCCCATCCATAACCACACTCCATCCTTCATCATTACTCCCCATCCCTGAACATACCCAATCCCAATCCTTAACTACACAGAGCCAATAAAAAAATTCCTTAAAATTTTTCTTCACTAATTTTCAAAAATATATTTTCTGGAATAATTATTTTTAGCTTAAAGTCATCTTAAAAACTCCTCTTTTGTATTCACCACCAAAACACTTGAGATATCCCCCTCCTTTCAAATACACAATCAAACAATACTTGTTGTCCTCTGCGCATATGTATTTATTTCCCGCATTTGTTTGTACAACAACTCCTGACTAAAATTAAATATATTTTTGGAGGATTTAATGGTCATTTTTGTTTTATTCTCAAAATATTTTTAAAAGAAAAAATTTTTAAAAGAAATTTTTATAAAATGACCTCTCCCTTTGTATAAAGCAGACCATTGGTGGTTCTGTCTCTATAACTCTTGGTCCTCTTAACTGATAAAATCGCTTTTGGTATCATTCGATAGAGAATTAAATTTCGTATAAATCCGGTTAAAATCGAAATTTTAGATAGACGACAAAAAAAAGTTGTGGTCGAAAAACCTGCAAGTTGTCAACGGCATTTTTTCCCAATAAACGTGAATCTTAAAACATTATTTAGGAAGATTCTTCTCCCTATTCAAAAATACATCAAACACCATTGGCCAATCCACAGTTGACAATTTGAAATTAAAAGTTACTAAAAGAAATTAATTAAATTAATACATATTATGCAAATTTGAATTTTCTATAATATCAATTGCTTCCTTATTAATTTTTAACCGTACCAACGGAATTTTTAGACTACTGATATTCTCAACCGATTTAAGTGATTTTGGTATCATTCGATAGAGAATTAAATTTGTCATAAAATTGAGAAAAATCAAAATTTTTGATAGATAACAACAAAAGTTATGATAGAAAACTGACAATTTCGCCTAAAATTGCAAGTTTTTTGACCACAACTTAAAGTAGCTTGATCATAAAATAATTATTTAAAAGCCATTTTGTAGCAGATTTAATTCTCTGCCGAATGATACCAAAATAGTTTCAATCGGGTTACTGTTTGAAGAGTTATTTAGCTGAAATTTCACAGTAAAGTGCAGAAAAGAAATTATTTAGGGAGTTTATTTTCTCCCTATTCAAAAATACAATATATATATCAAAAAAAAGTCGTAACCTTACAGTGATTTAAGAAAAAATTAATAAAAAAATTAATTGAACTTTTACATATTAAGTAAAACCTTATAACAATTCAATTTAGAAAAAATAATAAAATAAACAGAATGCCAACAAAATTTCAATTTTTATTCATTCTATTAATCATCTCCATTTTTACTCTATTCAATCAGTCTACAGCCAATGTCTACCATAATAATCACTCTCCGTTAATTAAGGGAAGTGTTGTTGGTTTTGGACCTTCCCAACATTTCGCCACAAATTTAAAATTTCGAAAGCGTGTGCCTTATAGAGACAACGGTGTTTTGGCAATAAATAGTGTTGGAAGAAGGAAACAAAAAATGCCTCCAAGAAAGATGATTGAAAAACCGAGACTTCGTTTTAAAGGGAAAGGTAACTAGCAAAATGTGTTCCTTACGAAGGGTGCCCCGTCCGAAGGGAACATTCGGGGAATTGTTTTCCGTCCGAAGGGAACATGCAATTATAGCTTTGCTGGATATAGTTAGGCAGCTTTCTGGGAATGTTTAGGTGCTCCACTGATAAAGCTACTGGGGCTATGAAGCCTTTTCGGTTATAGACTTTTTCCTTCGGAAAAAAGGGGATTATAGCTTTGCTGGATATAGTTAAGCAGCCCTTCCTCCCAACGCTTCTGTTCATTCTCACGCTCTAACCGTTCAAACCCCTGCCTGAGCGGCTCAAAAGGGGTTCGAGTCAGTTTAAGCTTCCCTTCACATAGTAACTCAAGCCTCTTCGTAAAATCAAAACTTTAAAATTTTTTAAAATTTTTAAATTTATTACAGTAGACAGCAAGTCAAAAGGCAACTTAAAGAGGCAAGCAAAAATTTATTAAAAGAAAAGGAGTTGAGCCAAAAGAATGCTGATGAATGTTTTAATTTAATTAAAAACCTCTGAATAATATTTTTTTAATTTTAATTTTGTAATATTTATATTTAAATATATCCAGTCGGAAGTAATTCCTCTTATCTTACAAATGAAATAAATTTAATTTTTTTTGATCAAAAAATGCTGTTAAATGTGATACATAAAAGAAGACCAGGGAGCACTTTCTCCCTATACAAAAATATAAATATCAACACTACCAACATGCGAATCACCAACACAATGACAAAGCCGAAATTAAAAGTTGATAAAGGAAATTAATTTAATTAATAAATATTATGTAAATTTGCATTTTTTATAATAACAATTCCTCCTTTGTGAATTTTTAAACATTCAAAATAAAAGTTTGAGGTACCAATCTCTTTAGCTCGATGAGAGGAATCGTTTAATACCAAATTTTGAAAGATTCGAAAATCTTGAAGCAAGTTATAGCTTTGCGCCTACTTGGCCGCGCGCCTACTCTATCTAAAAATAAAATTTTCTTGTATTTATTCAAATCTTTAAGAATTAAAACGGTACGTTCATTTGCTTCCCACAAAAACTACTGCTTAAAACTTTATTTAGGAAGAATTTTCTCCCTAGCCAAAAATATTTAACAACAACGAAGAAGAATTTATCGACAAAAGATAAGATTAAATTAAAGTTTATAAAGGAAATTAATTTAATTAATATATATTATGTAAATTTAAATTTTTTATAATATCAATTCCTTCTTCGTGAATTTTTAAAAATTTTCAGGATAGAATTTTGAGTGAAATTAAAATATTTTAACGAAGTTATAATTGTCCTCCGCATCTCTTTTCAAAAATTTTTTCCTTTTATCAGAAAAAATTAATTGTGTTTTATTAAGAAAATCTAACATTTTAAAGACGTTTTGTCGAGAAACGAAAATAATCAAAGAAATCCATTTCATTAACTGTAGATTCGACATCCGATATATGCAAAAAAATTATTTAGGAATTATCTATTCCTATTCAAAAATATTACAAAATCATCAAGATACATCATTGCAAACCTGTAACTAAAAGTTAATAAAAGAAACTAATTAAATTTTTGTATATTAAGTAAATTTAAAAATACAGAAAGAAAATGTCTAGATGGCTAGCATTTAAAACGCTTAAAAGACAGTGGTCACTTGGGGGTCAGGAATGCTTAAATTTCGTGTTGTTTCAAAACGAACAGCAAAAAAATTTCGGACGAAACGAAATAAAAATAACACTTAACGCCGGGAATTTTTGCAAAAAATTTTTTTGCATCTTTGAAAACATTCCGTCATAATTGAACTAATTATTCTCGGATAAGCATTTGAGTCTGCACGGTTGAGCCTCCCTTGTATTTGCACCAGTTGAGGTCTAATAGAGGACGGATTTGGGGATTAATAAAGATATCGGATAAAAAATATCTGAGGGAGTATTGAGGCATTTACAGAGGATTAAGTAGGTGCCAGAAAATTTGAATCTCTGTCTTATGAACAGATTAGGTGCCAAAATATTATCGCCGGCAGGTTTGAAAAAAAAGAATATTATTTAAAGGGTAATTTCCCTCTATTCAAAAATATTCTATCAACAAAAGCAACGAATATGTTTAACAATTTTAGTAAAATTTAATGAGAGAAAGTAATTAAATTTTTACATATTATGTAAATTTAAATTTATTGCAAATTAAACATTAATACACTAAATGACAAACTGACGCCCTCAGCTAGCATAACCACTGTACTTATGAAAAAAAGATTCTTAGATTAAGGAAGTGCTGTAGGTTTTGCCTTTCTCAACATAATTCAACAAATATACAATTCCACAATCGTGTTCCTTATAGTAGAGATAATGGTGTTTTGGCTATAAATTGTGTTGGAAGAAGAAATTCCGTATTTATTTCAAATAAATATTTATTAGAATTTCGTGGAGAACAGATACAGAGCATTGAAGGCTGAGAAGCCTTTATTTTTGAATTGGATATAGAAATCCTTAATAAATTTTTCTGTAGGGATATTGGTTATTGTATGTTAAAGAGTCTGTGTGTTAAATATCACGGTTTCCTTTGTTAATTTTTATTCCGTATTGAAAATTTCAAATAAAAATAATTATTAAAATTTTGTGATGAACCGATTGATGCTCTTGTAAAATCGCGTTTTCTATTTTAGAATGAGGTTATAAACCTCAGAAATCTTTCAATATTTTCCGGCAAATTAGACTTAGAGTTATAGAGAATTTTTCACGTTTTTTAATTTTTCTCTACTCCGTGATTATAAATTCAAATAAGGAAAATATTAAATTTTATGAAAGTAACTGTAATTACGCGACACCTGCACTATTACCTTTTTGTATGGGGGTTTAAAAACCTTCAAAAAATTTTCTATAGATTTCGAGAAATAACAGAGAATTCATGGAATATTACAGATATCCAGTTGCTAAAAATTTTATATTGTTACGGCAACTTTCCCCATTGAAGGACCAACCGCACACATATTTGGACATATATTTGAGGTACGCTATCAGATTCGGACAAACAAGTTTTCATTTGAACGAGCTCGGCAAGCTGAATTGCACTACCTTTAAATTAGATCGTGACTCAACTATGAGCCGAGATATAGGGCTCGAAATGGTTAAAAACCATAGAGGGCGATAATTTTGAAAAATCAATAAAAACTTATTCGAAAAAGCTCGATGAGAATGTCGAATAACAGCGAAATCACCTTGATTGTATCATATCTTTTGTCAATTTTGGCTCGACGAGCTCTTCCGTATGAGATATTATTTGGGTTGTCCATTACCGGTATTAACCTGTACCCCCGATTTTTGGTTTTTGATTGACCCACAGTTTAGGCTAACTGAAATCGGTTTATAACATTTTATTACTAATATACGAGGAAAAAATTTAAGCTGAAAGATTCTTTATGCTGATCAGAACTCAAAGATTCGAACGACATCTTATCGTAAAAAATTAATTAACATCCGTCAACGTTTATTTAGGGAGTATAATCTCCCTATACAAAAATATGGACAACAAAATATATTCAACTTCCTTCATACAAAATATTTCTTTAAGTAAGTTTGATAAAAGAAAATAATTGAAATTTTGTATATTAAGTAAATTAATTTCAATTCCTTCTTTATTAATTTTTAAAAATTACAATAAAATTTTTATAGAGGTTTTTGAGATTTAAAAATTATTTAAAAAATTTAAATTTTAATAGTGTTCCATCCCTCTTCCATTGGGAAGTCCCCCTCTGCAACCTCCTGCTCCCATCCCTCCCATTGCCCTTTCATTGTTCTTCCAGGCCAAAAATTTAAGGTAGCAGTCGAGAGCGTATGCCAACATTGCTGAGAAACCGAAAAACTGAAAATTTGGGAAAATTAATTTTTAGAAATTTATTCTAATAAAAAGGACGAGATAGCCGACTAGACGTCATTTAAAAGGGTTACTGTATTCGAATGAGTTACTGTATTCGAAAGAGGAGATTCTAAGCTACAAAATAGCCAAAAATCAAAATTTTAGCTCAACTTTTCAGAAAGTTATGAATTTTTAAACGAGTTTGTAAGGCTTTTTAAAGGATTTTAGGAGGATATTTGTGGGGGGGTTGGTTGTATTGGTTGTATTGAAAAATTTTTTAAAAATTAGATCCAAGATTTGTATAGAATGATCTTGGAGGGAATATATTTAAAGTCAAGTTTGAACCAAAATGATAGTCAAAAAAATTTCAAAGACAGCATAAAGGTATAACTGTAATTTCTACTTAATATACACAAGTTAAAATATAAGCAATATAAGTAAGCAAAATAAGAATACTTCGGCGGGGTAATTACTTCCTTGCAAAAATATTCAATTTTTGGGACGGGGATTCTAACGAATCCCTACTAAATATGTGGAGAGGATGAGGAGATTGTAATTATAATTATGCTTGTCGGCGAGGGATATGGGCAATTCAAAATTGTCCAAATTTTTGATAATCCTAAGAAAATTTTACGTTTTTGGAAGTAATTTACGTTAAGATATGTCAATTGCAATCATCCTTTTCTTGGTGTAACAAGAATGATCGGAAATAGAATTTGCCAACCTAGGTAGCGGGATTTTGCAAATCCCTACAAGATTACTGGATTGTTGGGGGGGGGGGGGGAGGATCGTGCAGGAAATTCAAAAGTAGGGATAGTCAAAGGCAGTGCTGTGTATGGCCTTAAGTCAGCTCTTCAACTTCTTTTGTCCTAAATCAGCACTGATAATGAAAAGTGGGAAAGTGAGGGAAGGGGTTTTTAGTAGAGATTTCCCAAATTTTAGAGGAAAAGAAAAATTAAAAAAATAAATCACCGCGGCTATAGCCCAACCAGCTGCATGGTAATGGCTGACAGACGCTACAGCAAGTACAGAACCAGCAATAAAATAGAATATAGTCCAAGAAAAGCAGTAAATCATTTCCTAAAAATTTAATTGAAATTTTTGGATAAAACAATAATATGGTGAAAATCGGTTTTTTTTATTCGGGTTTTACTCCATACTTAAAAATTCAAATAAAAATAATTATTTAAGTTTGTGAAAGGAAACGAATACAATCCGCGCTAGCCTGTTGATTTTATTTTTGAATGGTGATATAAAAATCCTCAAATAAATTTTTCTACAAATCGTGCCACTGTTCTAGTTTATGCGCCCAGTCAACTTTTATGCGTCTTATCACAAAAAATTTGATTATTTTAGTAATGCAAAGTTAGGATATGGTTACAAAACTTCTTCATGTTTGGGATCTACGCCCAATGAGTTTTCGATCATTCTTTAGCCTATCCCTAGAAATTTTTAAAAGTTAGAATTGATTTCTGAAATTTTCAAAAATTGACTATAACTTTCAGAAATTTCAATTGATTGGGTAAGCAATGGTCCCAAACCAAATAGGCTAGGTACTTTTATTCTGGCAAATAACGAAACTTTCAATATGATCAGTAATGCCATTTTATACACAACATTTTTGATGATTATTTATCCCCATTCAAAAATAAATCCAATCTTGCGGAACGGATTTTCTTTATTCTTTCACAAAATTAAATAATTATTTTTATTTGAATTTTTAAATATGGAGTAAACCTAACTATTTAGAAAACCGATTTTCACTATTTTATCAACAAATAAATTAAAAACCCACACAAACAATCCAAGGAATCTGAGGCCATTGGTCCACAATATGGAACAAATAAAGCATTAGCAAAGTCAATGAAATAATAAATCCGAAAACAGAAACAAAAGTAGCCCCTCCAACGCCCGCATAATAAGCTGGCCCTCCAATCAAGACAGCCATAAAGCAAAGAAAATTGAAACAAATTACAATAATTTTTAAAAGGCCGGGTAAAGTCTTCAAGTAGCTTGTGTCCAGCCAAGGATTACATTCTATATTCCCTCCGTCGTATAGAGGGCCGGAAGGTTGGATGTATCTTTGGCCTGTTGATGTTGTTGTGTAAACTCGGGTTTCTTCTTCGTACATTTTTGGGAGATTTTTAAATATTTTACTTAAATTGTTAAAGATTTTTAAAGATGTTTTATTAGAGACAGAACCGAGCGATGTACGAATCGAGATTTATGAGAGATTTATGAGATAAGATTTATGAGATATCGAGTTAGGGCATAGGATAACCTTATCGGGACGTTAAATTTTAGAGAGTGTACTTTCTCTCTATTCAAAAATATTAAAATTAAAGTTAAAACTCTAAATCTTCTAATACGAATTTTTAATTAATAGCTATAAACGTAACCAATTAAATTTTTACATATTAAGTAAATTTTATTTAAAATATAGGTCTGTAGTTACAGCGTGAGTCGATTAAGGAATTAAACATTCTTATAGTTTAACGAAATTAAAAAAAAGGAACAGAGAAAGTATGTGTATTAAATCCTTGTTTCAATCGGATATTAAAAAAAAATTTTTAAGACAGCACATATCCAAACAAATCGATCTATATCCAATTTATACCCTAAAGATCACAAATATTTTTAAAATAAAATTTTTCTCTTACAGCTGTTCCCCAGAAACATTTAACCTTTATCTCTTTCAATTTTTATTTTAAATTCTCCAAGCGATTTGTTCAATAAAAGTTCAACAGCTGTTCGATTTTTTCCAAATTATTCAACCTTAAAATACCCAAAAAGTAAGAGAATTTTAAAAGAACGCAATTTCGCCAAAACTTCAATCTGTCACAATACACTTTGCCAAATGTTCACAATGGTCATCTGTTCATTTGGGCCAAAAATTACTTTGTCAAACGTGTGATGAAAAGGATATACATATCTTTTAAGCATTTATTAAAATTTGCCTAGTTAAAATTTGCCTAGTATTTTCCTAATTGATTTTACTCCGTATTTATTAATTCAATTAATTATTTATAAAATTAGTGAAAGAAAATTGTTAGACATCGGATAATTGACGTCGTGCATCGATTATTTTTGCATGGGGGTTATAAACCCTCAAAAAAATTTGTAGATTAGTTGAAGATTATGTTGCTCAGGGCAATCCCCTCTAATCTCTCCTAAAAAAACTTTAATTTGTCAAATTTTTATTTGGCCAAAGTATGATTTTTTCTGCCAAAAACACTTAAAAGTTCACTTTTTATTTCACGTTTTGTCAAAATAATTTTTAGCAACTAAAAACTCAATTTGTCACAATTCACTTGGTCAAATATAATTTTTTTCAAAAATTGGGCGAAAAAATTTGCAGTATCTTTCAATGATTTGTAAATTTTCTAATTAATTTTACTCCGCATTTATTAATTCAACTAAATAATTATTAAAATTCTTGAAAGGCAGTTTTGTTGGTTGTAGTTTCGCCGATATGAATCTTATTATTTTTGAATGGGGGTTGGAAATCCTCAAAAATATTTTTTAAATTCAAGGAAATTTGCTCCGTATTTATTAATTCAATTAAATATATATTAAAATTCTTGAAAGAAAATTTAGGTTTGGAAGAAGATTGATGTAGCAGACGTTATTTTTGAATGGGAGTAAGGAACTCTCAAAAATGTTTTGTGTTTTGTGAGATTTTGTGAATTTTATAGTATTTTATATAGGCCTGATTAAAGCGACAATCTTACTTTCCAGACTTACCTATAAATTTGATAATAAGCGTCATCATTCTTCTCTAGTCTTTTTTAAAGAAAAATTTTCATCAATTTTATTTACCAATTATTTGTTAAAAATTCAAAAAAATAAATTTAAGTGCCACGCTTTACAATTTTTAAAATTATTATAAACACTTGAGAAAAAAATTTTTTTCAAAAAGATTTTTGGCATTCCTCTGCATAACAATAAATAAATATATACTAAACAATTTCCGTTGGTTAAAAGCTTTTTTTGTTGGCTCGTCTATTAAAAATTTTTTTCTTTCAATTTTCGCCCCTTAGGCATTAAAAATTATAAAATTGTTTAGAAAAGTGAGGGTGTGCAATGGAATTTTTTCGGAGGAAATATACCCACTTCGAGTTGAATCTACCCCTGTGAAGAAAACATCTCTCAAGGGAGAATATACCTCAGAAAAGAACATGTTTTCCGAACCGTTACATATCCACTTCCGAAAGGACAGAGCCCCTTTGTAGGAGGAACAGACCCCTTTCGAGAGAGAGATTCCCTTCGTAAGAGTGTATGTTCCTTTCGGACGGTAATATAACCTTCGAAGGTAGCATGTACAAATGTGAGTGGAATATACCACTCCAAAGAAGCTTACGGCTGTAACCTCTTCGAAGGGAATGTACCCTACCGTATCAGAGGTTGATTGGAACTGATGAAGGTGCCAGAAATCGTAAATTTTCGGAAATCGGAATTTCGATCCACCTCTCTCCCTGACCTCTGTGAAGGGATTATTCTATCCGAAGAGACCATTCCTCTCTGGATTAAATATAAAGGCGCCGAAATGACTATACTTAAATTCACTACAATCAATTTTTATTTGGGTTGAATTTGTTAATGTGGGGGTCATTATGGCGCAGACTTCAAAGACGAATTAAAGACAAATTTTTTTTGGTTTTTTGGCCCATTCTTTCTAAAAATAACTTTTTGCTTTTAAATCCATTAATAAATTGAATTGACTTTTATTTGGGGTGAAAGGAGAGGAAAGAACTTTTTTGGAATTTCCTTCAACCTATTTTAGTGGGAAAAATATTGGCACCTTTTGGCGGTGAAATGCTTATTTTTGGAAAATTTATTTTAAATTTGTTTAACTGGTAAAACGTTTTTTGCTCGAAATTTTAAGGCCTATTGGAGCCGAAAGTTTAAGTAAAAACAAAAGTCATTTCCTTTGTTAAGGAAAAAATGTTCCCTTCGGAGGGAAATGTTCCCTTCGGACGGGAGATGTTCCATTCGAAGCGAACTTGCGAAGAATACTTTCAGAAGGGGAAGAGGTAACCTCCGAAGGGGAACTTAGATTCTTTTTCCCATAGCTTTGGACTATATTATGATGTATGGAGGAAAAGAATATCGCTCAACAATGTATAGGAAATGACTTTGTTCCTTTCGGATAGAAAGGAACAAATACCGTTCGAAGGGAACCTAAATTTACCGTTCGAAGGTAAATACCGTTCGAAGGCAAATACCGTTCGAAGACAAATACCGTTCGAAGGCAAATACCGTTCGAAGGGAACCTAAATTTACCGTTCGAAGGTAAATACCGTTCGAAGGCAAATACCGTTCGAAGGGAACCTAAATTTTCTCTCAATACTATCGCACATCAACACCACAAAAGATGTGTTTCTTGAGCAATAAAATATGCGAAGTTCAAAAATCCGTATAAAATTATTTAAAATAGTCCACTTAACCTTTATGATTTATAAAAAATTAATTTAAATGAACGGGCTCGAACCTGCAACCCGTAGATATACTAGGGTTTCCAAAATGGACCAACTCTGACCGTAAGTTCGAGTTGAGTCTAAAATATTTGTCCAGTAAAAGACATGTACGTCCAGCTTGATAAAAATGAGGCTCGGAAGTGATTAATATTAAAATACATATTAAGTAAAAAATAATGTTCTCCACAAACAAAAATTTACTTCAAAATTCTCTCATTTTGATTACTGTATTTTCTCTCATTTCAAAAATAAATTGTCAAAATGAAGTGAATGAACAACCTCAAGTTTTGACAGATGTAAGAACATTTTGATTTAATTTAAAAATTTTTTTTTAATTTTTAGACGGAAGATTTCTATGCTGTTGATGAGAAAAGAGTCCCTCATCCTGGGTAGGTCCAAATTTTGATGTTTAAGTTAAGCCATATTCTGTTGAAGATACACTCGTTATAAGAGACTCTTTTTAACAGTCGGACCTCATACTCTTAGAAGCTGGCGCTTAGTTTAATTTAACTACCTTCTATAAGGATCATTTGGGTGGGGAGTATCTGAGCTTAGCACGCGTGACAAGCTTAGACACTTTTACTCAGTATTTAAAAATTCAAATAAATAAGTATTAAAGTATCTCATTGAGAATGGTAATGTGGCGTTTTCGAACATGGAATTTAGATATTTTTGAATGAGGGTGGAAGAACCCTCAAAAAATTTTTTTAAATAAGCGTGGTTGTTTAATAGTTTTTAGAGGCAAGTCGGCGGTGCCGGTTCCCGGATAACTTAGCCCTTGAATTTATTTTACGTGTCTCGATGTGAAGGACAACTTAGTCACTTCCGAAGGGAGCATTATTAACCAAAATGAAATTAATATGAAATTATTCAGGAGCACTTGGCGTCAACAAGGACGAATACGAAGGTATTAAATTTAGAAAATAATTTTCAAAAAAATTTTTTTGCAATAGTTTCTACTCCCCAACAATACCAGACTTTAATACTCCATATAGTCGATTCACAAAATATGGGGCACATAGACCTATGTTTATAAGATACATGCGCAGCTTTTCGGCATAAACAAAGAAGGATGGGAATTTCTAAAAAATTTAACGAAAATTTTACTTAATATATTAAATTTAAAATATGTAAAAATTTATTAAAAAATATTTAAGAAACAGATGATCTTATTCGTTTGAATAGTAATTTTTGGGCTGGGGTTCTCTTGGACCCCTCAAAATATGATTAGATTTAAAGGGTTTGTGATAAGGGATTGTGATTAGGAATAAAAATTTCAGACGATAGTTAAATTTATTATTGTTCCTTGAAGAGGGGGACCTTTCCGAATGATAATCCGTTCTTTTGTTGCTTCATAAACGACCACCGCCGAATAGGAATGTTATTTAATAAGAGGAACCTATAAATCATAATGACTTATCAACTGATGATATTTATTTGAATTTAACCCCAATTTCATAAAATAGCAAAATACTTGATATTTTAATCACCCATCCTTCATGGAGGTTTTCAATTATAGAGCGGGCATTCTAGAAAATTTCACGGTATCTAGAATCTTCACTTTTTCAATCAAAAAAATTTTTTGTGGGTTTCTACCCATCATCCAAAAATATAATACTCTCATTTAACCGCCCTTCAAACGAGCCTCACTTCCAATGATTCAAATAGTTATTTAATTGAAATTTTATATAAGGAGTAAAACAACAAAATTTATTTTTTGTCCTTGTCAGATGGAACCATATCTAATTAGAACATCTTACCTAATAGGTTATTTATAAATTCACTTATCAGCTGATAAAATATATTTACCCCCATGTTAATAAAATAACAAAATATTCTGATTTTTAAAATTTGTGATTTATTTTGGGAGACGTTAGTGCATGAGTACCTCGAAAGTTTACTTGTACTTATTTATCTACCTAATAAAGCTAGAGGTTTGAAATTTTGTACATTCCTTCAAGGCTTTCTTAGCTATATTTTCTGAAAATTTGAGAATTTTCGGTCCACTGGTTTTAAAGTTATGGCCAAAAAAGCAGCTAAAAATGGGATAATTCTGATTCCTTTAATCATAATTCTGAAATTTCAGAACAAAAATTCTGAAATTTTTAATTTTGATAAGTAAGACTATCCACGACATTGGTACAAAATTTCAGGAGTTTACGCCCTCTTTTGAGAAATTTACAATGAGATAACTTTCGTCCCAACTGCAATAACGTCCCCTTAACACAGTTAAATTCCACTCTCTTTTTCCTCATTTTCTGAATTTTTTGGAATTTTTTGTGTATTAATTATTGTATTCCTTCTTGTTTCTTCATTATTATCAGAATTATCAGTAGTAGAAATTTGACTTAAGCGCAAGTCGGGTTGTGACATTCTTCGAGTTAGTGGAGAGGAATTTGATATACTGTCTTTCTTAACGTCGTAACAAGTTATTTTCTGTAGTAAAAATTTTTTTTTAAACAGTTTACTGATTTTAGAACTTATAAGAGCATGTTCTGTTTTATAAGGAGATACAAGGACATAGGTACATAAGGAGGCATACAAAGGCTCATAAGGACATTGGGGCTTTAATAAGGACAGTTAAGAACCAAGAGGTTTTATAAGGACACAAATATAAGGGCTGTCAAAGGACATACATATAAGGGCAATAAGACTTGTAAGGAATCTAAGACAAGAAAGACTTTATAAGGCCACTTAAGGGTATAAGGACTAAAAAATACATGGGGGCTTTCATAAGTACATAAGGAACAAAAGGGCGTTCATAAGGATATTTAGGGACAGATGCGATCTATAAGAACATCTAAGGAAAGATTCTTATGAAAATAATCCAGAAGACGTAGGATTTCTATGATCCAAAAATTTTAAAGTCTTACGTTTCTCACATTGATGTTACGATTATTATCAGTAATACCACGATTTGACCTTCTAGCGGTATTTATTACTGATATTGAAGGTTGCTGTTGATTTAGTTGAACTTTCGTTATTAAAATATCCATGTAATCATCCTGAAATATTTAGAAATTAGTAAGTAATCGAAAGAAAAAATTTTTTTGAAAAATTTTGAAAATTTTTGAAAATTTTTGAAAAATTTTCAAAAAAAAATTTTTTTTGATTTTCTAAAAGTTCTCAAATTAAAAACTCCACCTTAATATCATCATTATTTTCCCTCCTTTCACTCCCTTCAGACTGTATCCTTTTAAGTTCATCAACCTTTCTGTCCAACAAGCGCGAGAACATTGTATACAGTGCTTCCATGTTGTCTTGACTGGCCATATACTTGAAAAATATAAATTAAAAAAATCAGAATTCTGATTTTTTATGACAGAAGAAACCAGAATTTCTTAAATTTTAATTTTAAAATTTTCAAAATTTTTGGGGAAATGTTCGATTTTCATAGAGCGTGACCGCAACATTTGAAAAATTCATAACTTTTTCAAACTTAAAGGTATTCGAATATTTTAAAGTGTTAAAATATACTATAAAGAGTGCTCTATTTGATAAAAATAATTTCATAAAAATTAATTTAAGGAAATACAAGGATATACGCAAGGAACTAGGTCTAACCCTAAGTCTGACTATTTTTAAGAAATTACAACTTGATTCAAACTTGGAATAATCTAATTTTTAAAAGCTTATTATATACAAAAAAGGCTTTTCTATTCAATAAAAAATACTTTTAAAAATTTTTCATTGAACAAATCTACCTGATCAATCTCTCTCTTCATTGTATTACTCCTTGAAATTGTGCTCCCATTAATTGTTTCCATATAAGCTGAAGCTATTGACTGACTATGCGGTTTACTTGCTTGCCTAATAAATGATTAAATTACATTATTTTTTGATTTCCTAGATTTATTTTTAAACGGCATTGGCATTCAATACAAACACATCCTATTGAACATGCGGATAGGTGGGGTTATAAACGTCGTAGGCCCATATCATGGTGGGAACATCACTTGGGATACATTATTCTAACTAATAATACCCTGACATTGTATTTTCATAACCACATTAGGGCGGATTTCCCTTGAAGAGAGATGGAGGGACACTTATAGAGTTGTTTGAGAGAATGAGAGAATACGGTATCTTAAGGTTTAATTTAACAAATATTACTTGGTCATTTTCCTTCCAACCTGAGCAATTTTAACAGCCTCGGTTAGCTAAAAATAAACGAAAAAAAATTTTTTAAGACCTCTACTGTAATATTCAGACTTACAGTAATTTTATTATAAGCCCTAACGATGTCACTAGCATCGAAAGCTTTGCGTTTAACATGCCTCATTAGTAAAGGCTTAATAAGCTTTGCATTGAATCTCTCAAAAGAATCTCTAAAGAAGTGTCGTCCTCTTTGCCCAATAATATCCTCAATTCCAGCCATTGTGTAATCAAAGTATTTGTTGTAAACCTTTAAAAATAGATTTTTGAGTTGGATATCCTTTTCAAAATTATCGCTAAGATCCGTTTAAGTACGATTTTTAAGAAGTTCCATATGAAATGTTCCATTCACAGAGCCACTACTAGGATGTTCCCTACACACTAGTAGTATGTTCCTTACAGACTAGTAGCTGTTCCCTCCAAATAAAATTTTTAAGTAACTTTAGATACACTCTACTTAATATATAAAATTCTAATTAATAAATGCTTAAGAATAAACAAAGTGAATAAATTTAGATCTTTTGTTTTAATATAAGAATTTTTGGAACGGGGGTGATGCGCACACCCCTACAAAATTTAAATTTTTTCTCAAGTTTGCCACAAACTTTTTTACGTAATTCTGTATCGTGTATTTACCTTCTCGACCATCATTGCTTCATAATCAAGATCAGCCTTTTCCACTTTTAAAAGAAATAGTAACGGTCTAATGGTTATACCCATTAAGAAGACAGTAAAGAAAATAACAGCAATGCTATAAATTTAAGCTAAATGTGACTATTATTGGAGAGGGCCTCAACTATAGGAAGACAATACAGTTTTCACCCTTTCACCCAGAGTTTTCTAACAGCCTCTCTAATAGAAAGGCATATCTTAGATTTTTATCAGTAGTGTTCCCTACGAACGAGGCCCTCTACGACATGCCCTCCTCCTTCTATCATAGAGGCACATTCCCCTCTCCAAATTTGAATTTTTACTTACCAAGTAGTCACAAACATTCTTTTAGCCTAAAAACTTGGTTCATTTTATCTAATATTTAATTTAAACTTGAATTTCTGCAGGTAAGGATACTACAAGTCCAAAAGCAATAGCTCCTCGAAGACCGCCATAACACAACACAAATTGATCTCTCAAAGAAAATTTTTTGTTCCGCATCCGATTTAATACAGAACATTGAACTATTACACCTTTAGAAATGTATTTTAAGAGACAAGTTGATGGGTTAATATCAGGGATGGGCGAAATCAAAAAATAAAAAGCGAAATGCGAAATGCGAAACTTTTTTTAAAAAAATAAAATGCGGAATGCGAAACTTTTCGCGCCAAAAAATGCGAAAAATGCGAAAGATGCGAAATGCGAAATCGCCCATCCCTGGTTAATATGTAGTAGAGGTTATTTTATGCCCAATGTTCCCTTCGAACGTGGACCCCTCCGTAGGGAACATTGTTCCCTTCAAACGAGGGGAGAATATTCCCTCCGAAGGGAACATTCTCTCATACAGATCTCCTTGTGAGCAATCTCCCCCAAGGAAAGAAGATTGCTCATATAGATGTCTATCTATGGCCAATGTTCCTTTCGAACGTGGACCCCTCCGAAGGGGAACATTTTTTCCTTGTTCCCTTCAAACAAAGGGGAGAATGTTCAATCCGAAGGGGACATTCTCTCATACAGTTCTCCTTGTAAACAATCTCCTCCAAAGAAGGGTGATTGCTCCTAACGATATCTATCTATGGTCAATGTTCCCTTCGAACGAGGACCCTTCCGAAAGGAACATTTTTGTCTGTTCCGTCCGAAGGGAACATTCTCTCATACAGGACCCATTAGGTAAGTACTCCCCAAAGAAGGTAGATTTCTCCTATCTATGTCTACTATGTTCCTTTCGAACGAGGACCCTTCCGAAGGTAACATTTTTCCTATGATAAATAACATACCAATAGTTCTATAAAATAAACACAAAAATATCGTAACAAAAACAAAAGAGGTATCCCATTGATGAATGCTAGATATTGTAGATAATCCAAGAAACATAAAGATAACAGTTTCACTGCATTGAGCAAGCATTTTGATAAAATATTTAACTGAATTGTTAGCATCATGGCTCATATTGCCTTTTACATATTGCTTCATCATTATGCCACAAGCTACTATTCTGTAGGGGTATTTAAAAGAATTTTATCTGATTCTAAAGTTGCTGAAAAATTTATTTCCCTGGAGGTTTTAAGGTATTCTTAAAGGGCAATGTTACCTTCGAACAAGGCCCCCTCCGAAGGGAACATTCCTCCAATCGGTGAGTTGTATTTTCGGTGAAAGATCATTTTAATTATGTATGAGATTGAGGAGTATTTTGTTTTCCGGATGTTTATATCCTGAATGTTTCATATTTTCCGAAATGTTCCCTACGAACAAGGCCCCCTCCGAAGAGAACATTCTTCCATTCGGTGAATTGTATTTTCGGTGCAAGATCAGTTTAGTCTCAAGAAATTTCCCATTTTCCGGAAAATAAAATTTCAGGATCTAAATTTAAAACAAAATTATACGCTAATATAGATGAGAATCCAAACATTTCAGCCGAAAGATAGGCTAAATATGGAACAACAAAAACAAATACAGGTGCAAGAATCTTGACTCGACTTGTGAATCTGTTAAGAAAATTTTGTTTAAATTTGTTTTTGACATTTTGAAATTTTGAAATTTCGACATTTCGAAATTATGACATTTTAAAATTTTGACATTTTGAAATTTCGGCATTTTGAAATTTCGGCATTTTGAAAAGTTAACATTATGACATTTTTAATCCCTAAATTTTCTTATTAAAATTACCTCTTTATTCACCTCGTCAGTATAGAAACGAAGAAAGCAAAGAAAAGTCCAATTAAAGTACCCCCTAAAGCTATCACAACAAAAGAAAATATCCCAGCAATGTAGTCAAAAACTGCAAGATTGTTAACACCAATAAGAGTAAATTTGCGGAACATTTGATAAAGTACCTTTTGAATTAGTACATATAGTATGTATTTATTTGTATGTATATTCAGGATTTGTCTTATTAGGAGGAAATTTATTTGAATGCGCGTGACCAGTTTGATAACATTAAAACCAAAACGTCAAACATTAGATAACTTACTTCTCAGCAGGACTCGATTTTTATGAGGATTGGCGCCAAATCCTCTTCCCAAAAATTATCTATAATTCGTGAATTTAAATGAGATTACCATATGGGTGAAATTTGATTTGAATAAAAGTTTAATTCAATTTTTAAATATTAAGTAAAACGAAAATAAAACAGATATCTAATACATATTAAACCAGGGCTCTCATCGACAAAATGCCACTCAAAAGTATCAAAATCTCGATTAAAAAGTATATAGGGAGAAAATTTGCAAATAAAAAGTATACTCAAAATTAAATTCGAAAATAATTATTCGTCCTTAAATCTTTCATATTTCCCTTCTAAATGAATCTTTTCTATCAATTTCTAGTTTCCACTGAGCATTTTGTGCATTTCAATGCACATTTTGTCGCGCCGAAGGCAACAAAATGTCTTCTATTTTTGCGTCGCAGGCGAAAATTTTTTGAAAATTAGAGGTTTTAAGCCAGATTTCTTCCATTTTCAACGCCGCAGGCGAAAATTTTGAGAATTTTGGAGATTTTTAAGCTAGATTTCTTCCATTTCTTGCGCCGCAGGCGAAAATTTTTTGAAATTTGGAGCCCAAGAAGCTAAATTTCTTCCTTTTTCAGCGCCGCAGGCGAAAATTTTGAGAATTTCAAAGGCCGTAGGCCGAAAAAATTCACTTTTTTGTCCAATCCCTTCCCAAATTTCATTTTCAATCCGAAATGTCGCTTTAAAAGTAGATACTTTCAAAAAAGTATAAATTCAATTTCGTAAGCATGGAGGTCGATTTAAAAGTAGAATACTTTTAAAAAAGTATAAATGAGAGCCCTGTATTAAACGCTTAATATAGATAGATTTAAAATATATTGTAGTGATTAAGAATAATGTTCAATGATCCAGTTCAATAAGCCAATTTTACTATTTTTCGAGTAGGCCAAGAGGATAGAATTCACCACAAATTCAATGAATAAATTTGAGAATTATCTACTTACCACGCTAACACCATCATTAAACAAAGCTTCCCCAAAAACATTAATAAAAAGGAACTCATTAACATGGATCTCCTCAAAAACAGCAATAACAGCAACAGGATCAACGGCACTAATTAAAGAAGCAAACAATAAAATTTCAAAATTGGAGAAGGCAACAGAAAATAAATTTAATTGGCCTAATAGGTAGAGAGAAAAGCCAATAGCTAAAGTATTCCAAATTGTGCCGACAAAAGCAAAAAGAAGGACAGAATCCCAATTTTCAAAGAGTTGTCGATTTGGCATAAAATAGCCTGAAAAGATTGGGGAAGAGGTTATATTTATGTGGATGTTCCCTTCGGAGTGAAGTCCGTCCGAAGGGAACAGACAATTAGAGGGGTTAAATTTGGGTGGATGTTCCCTTCGGGGCCCGTAGAATAAATTCGGGGTTAGGTTACCCGAGTAACTTTTCCCCCACAAAACGAAAAGAAGAGGAAAATCCTTGCGCCGAAAAAATGGAGAAGAAAAGAAAGAGGAAAAGAATACGGTAGAGGTGGAGGGTAAAATTGTTACACTGCTACGGGGCAGGGTAGACAATTTCTTTAAAAAATCCTTAAAATTTGAAATTTGATGAAAAAATTCTAAATTAAATTTTTTCAGATAGTTTAGCATGTGCTCTATTTTTTGATATAAGTTTTAGAATTTTTTCTTTGGAAATAAATTTATGAGAATTTTTAACAAAAAGGACCTCATTTTTAGTCATTTTTTAAGGAAAAAGTAGTACCTTGCTAGAAAATTTATAACTTTTAAAAAAATCGGTCAAAATTTTTAATTTTTTGGTAATCCATAGATAACATTCCCATCTATAATTTGGCCAAAAAATAAAATTTTTAACTGCATTTCAAAAAAAGTTATGAATTTTTTCATAAATAGGGAGAACGAGAAGCGGGTAGCGGCGCCAAACCCTTTGCCTAGGGTCAAGTCGGCGCTGCCGCTACCCGGGTAACCTTACCCTTGAATTTATTCTACGGGCCCGGAAGGAAGCCCATTCGAAGGGAACAGACAATTAATGGGGTTTAATTTGGGTGGATGTTCCCTTCGGAGGGAAGTCCGTCCGAAGGGGACAATCAGAAAAACCCCCTATTAACTAAAAGAGCCAAACAATCAGAAGTATCGGAGGGCATTCTTCATAGGGGCGGTTCTCTTTCCTTCTGAAGACCTCTCACCCTTGAAAGACTTGATAAAAATTTTTATTAACTAGAAGGGTTAAATTACAAAAAATGTTTGCTTAATATGTAAAAATCCAAATATTTTTCTTTTAAATATTTTAAACAAAGCCCTTCGAAAGTAATAATATTGTATAATCGTAGTGTTAATTTTTGGAACGGGTGTTCGGCCGAACCCTAAAAACGTCAGACAAGATCGCAATTGATATAGCTTGTGATAATTTAACGACGTAAGCTTGTAAGATTACTGAAGTATGCACTTAATCCTTACTTAGCTTTAAAATTTTAATAAAATCTGACCAGCATCAAAAATAATTGGAGGAAGTAGATAGAGGAAGAATGTTGTAGATTTGAGAGTGAAGAGTTCGTTGCTAACATGTAGTTTCTGAAGAGCATAACCAAGAACTAGACCGACAACAATGAGTAGAGCACTGTCTGGTATTGCCTCTCCAAATTGTTTGTGGACATGGAAAACTTAAAATGAGCGAGATTAAGGTGTTCCATTAGGAAGGATGAATGTTCCCTTCGGACTCAAAGAAAAAGGACAATGCTCCCTTTGAACAGTACCCGTCCGAAGGCTATGTAGCGTGTGTTCCCTTTTGCTGATGATAGAAAAACTCTTGTAGATTATGGGAAGAATGTTCCCTTCGAGTAGGTTCCGTCTGTAAGGAACAGACTGAAAGAAAGAATGTTCCTTTCGGAGAGGGTCCTTCCGTAAGAACAGACTGATAGAAAGGATGTTGTCCTTCGGAGGGGGTCCATCCGTAAGGACCAATATGATGAAAGGATGTCCCTTTCGGTGGAGGTTCCCTTCATAAGGAACATTATAACAGGAAGCATGTTCCCCTCGAATGGGTTCTATCCGAAGGGAACATTGCCAATTCTCTGGGAGGGTATATAAGAACCTACGTATTTTAGCTATGCTAGCCAAAAGTATCCAAACACTGACTGTATATGGCTACAAATAAATTTAAATTTCTAAATTTAATAATTAAATTCATACAGTTTCAACATGATGCCATTCTAGTGAAAGTATCTGTAAAGAAAAAAGATTATAATGTCAAGATTTATAAGGTCTAGGGGTCATATTTTGGGCCATAACTTTTTTCATTCTCAACCGATTTAAATAATTTTAATATCAATCGAAAGTTTGACTGTGGGGAATATTTTAGCTAGCAGGGTTGGTCTGATCAAAGCATCTTATCCAAAGTTATAGCTTTTTAAGTGTGAGCAATCGTGATTTTTCATAATTATTCGGCTATAAGCTTTAATAAGATTAGCTGATCGACTCAATAATGGTAGCTAAAATAATCCTCACATCAAGAATAAATAGAAAATCGTGTCTATTTGATCCAAAAATTGAAATTAGAGTCAAAAGGAACACTCGCTACGATAGCTACCATAAGTTCACTTCGATCGGTTCCGAAGGGAACATCACATAAGCTATTATAGTTAAGGTAGGAAGGATATCCTCCAAAGAGTTTATGGAATTGTTAGACTCTTCCGAATGATCTGTACTACTTTGAAGGAAGAGGAGACCCCCTACGAAGCAGTGGAATGATTTTTGAGAGGTTGGAAGGATATCCCCAAAGGGTTTATGGAATTATTAGACTCTTCCGGATGAGGTGTACTATTTTGAAGGAGGAAAAAGACCCCTTCCAAATGAGGGGAATAATTTTTGAGATTTTCTTAATTGCCTTAAAATAGCTAGGCTTCTGTTCATCCTGTTGAGCATTAATATTAAACTCGGTTGTCTGTGATGTTTGTGAGGTTTGAGATGTTTGTTGTGTTTCCCAAAATTTAGTGAATGAACGATTTGTGTTGTTTGACTCATCCAGGAGGGCAGGAAAGCAATTTGTAGTTTTGTGAAGAATGATAAGAATAAATAAAAATAAATAAAATTTTCGTTGTAAAAAAGGAATGTGGTTGAGTTGAGAGACGTTGGAGGAAGGGAGATATTTACTCATTTTATGTACGTTTCTGGAATTGTTAAAATTTTTAAAGTTTAGGTACCTTGTAATCAAGTCCCGTACTTTTTATATCTGAGAAAATAGATATATTTATGATGGTACTATGCTCCCTTCGGAGGGGTCTACTTCCGAAAGGGGGCAATTCGGAAGTGTCCTAGTGTCTTTTACGGAAAAATGTTTATGATGAAACCTTTTTGAGGGGTCCACTTCCGAAAGAGGGTATTTGGAAGTGTTCTAGTGCCCTTTTTAGGGTTGGCCTTTTTTAGGGTTCGTTTCGGTTCAAAGGATCGAACCTGGCCTTGAATTTTGGCCCGAAAAAGACTCGAACCTCAGCCCGGTTCATAAAATCCAACCCTAGTCCTTTTACGAAAAACGAAGACCCTTCCGAAGGAGGATTGACAACTCCAAAGTTTGGGGTTGTCTTCCGCCTAATTTTCATTTTCTCCTGATCAATTCTGATTTTTTTTTGATATTGTTCGAAAAAATGAGAGGAAATTTCTTGAATACTTTATTGTTAAATAAATGTTGTTATTTAATAAAATTTAATTATTTTCATATTTTTTTGAAAATATTTGAATAAAAATAAAAAAAATTATTTGTTGTCAAACATGAATATTTCACTCTCATGACATGGCGCTCATTTTTTATTTTTATCAATCCCGAGTTTTTTGGTTGTATAAAAATAGATTAAATTTGTGGGGAAAGTGCTAAATTTGTATATTAAATTGACTAAAATTGAACAAAATATTTTTGTTTATTTGTTCTGATAATTTGTTAAAATTCTGATTTTATAATAAAAAATTCTGAAATTAATTCTGATTTAATTCTAAAAATATTCTGATTAGTTCTAATTTTATTCTGAATTAATTCTGTTTTTTTTCAAAATTATTTCTGTGATTAATTCTGATCTTAATATGAAAATATTCTGAAATTAATTTAATTCTGATGCTTATTTTAAAAATTCTGATTTTTAATTCTGATTTTTATTTTACCTAATTAATTCTAAATATTCTGAAATTGTACTAGTTTATGTCGAATTAATTTTGATTTAATTCAGAATTAATTCTAAAATTATTCTGAAAATAATTTTGATAGATTCTGAAAAAATCTGAAAATATTCTGAAGTAATTCTGAAGTTAATTTTGATTAATTCTAGTTAAATTCTGATTTTTACTTTTATTTTATTCTGAATTTTTCTATTTAATTCTGAAATTAATCTGAATTAATTCTGATTTTATTCAAAATTATTCTGAAATTAATTCTGAAAATATTCTGAAAAAAATCTGAAGATAATTCTGATTATACATATTCTAAAAATATTCTGATTTTATTTTGGTTTTAATCTGAATAATTCTGATTTTTATTCTGAGAATATTCTGAAATTAATTCTGATTTTCAATTCATATTATTGTGAATTAATTCTGATTTTTTCGTGGCTATTCTGAGATCAATTCTGATTCTAGTCTGAAATTAATTCTGATTTTATTTTGATCTAATTCTGATTTTTAATTCCTATTTAAACCAATTTAATAAACATTCAATAAATTAAATGAAATTTGTTTCATACTTACATGTTAAAATTTATTTTAATTGTTTAAAAAGCAATATATCAATTTCTATCGGGGAAAAGCAAGATCAATTGAAAAAAATTGTGACGATTATTCTCGCGATTTTTACGATTAATAAAAAAATAAAAAAAAATTTTTAACTAAAGCAATTAAAAATAAGAAAAGAATAAAATTGATTATTTGATATTAAATTTGGGGGTAATTAATAAATATAAATATTTTTTTTGAAAGTAGAGGGGAGAGGGAGGGAATTAAATATTTTTAAAAATTTAATTTATGAGGGTTAATAAATATTTTTTTTATTTTTTTTAAGTTGCGCAACAGCTGTAAATAAAAATAATTTGTTAAAACCAGAAGAAATTAAATTCTGATTATTTTTAAAAAATTCTGATTTTTAATTTAAAAAATTCTGAAATAAATTCTGGTTTACTTCTGATGACATTTAAAAAATTCTGATTTTTAAAATTAAATTCTGATCATATTCTGAAATATTTCTGAAAAAATGAAGTAAAATTCTGAAAAAATTCTGAAAATAATTCTGGTTTAATTCTGATGATTAATTTATAAAATTCTGTTTTTTGCTTTTTATTCTAAAAATTCTGATTTTTAATTGTTCTGAACAAATAAATATAATTCTGGTTTAATTCTGATATTATTTAAAAATTCTGATTTTTAATTTAGAAATTCTGAAAAAAAATTCTGATTTAATTCTGATGATTGTTTTAAGAAATTCTGATTTTTATTCTGAAAATTCTGAAATAATTCCGGTTAAATTCTGATTACTTATAAAAATGATGTTAAATTATTCTGATTTTTATTTGGTATTTTTTTTTAATTCTGATTTTAAAATTAAATTCTGATGTTGACAAGTCTTAAAATTATGTTTAGGGTTCGCGCGAACACCCGTCCCAAAAATTAGAATTATCTCCCTAAAAAACCTCATAAGCTGTGTTTTATTTACTTAATTATAGATAGCGTATATTTGAATTTTTACATATTAAGTAGATTTTAATATTTATAAATAATGTAAAAATCAGACAAAATTATTTATAAATTCTAACCTTCCAATATCGCCATAAAAACAATTTTAAAATTTAATTTTCCCCAAAATATTTTTATTGGATAATTATTAAAGTATTTACATTTTTATTCCATAAATTTCGGAATGTTTTGTTTTTAGGGGAAAAAAATTTTTTGATAAATTTCGCCTATTTTTATTTTTAATTTTAAAAAGATTTGAATAAATTTTATGAAATTATTTTATGAAATTCGTAAACATGTTCCTAAGATATGTGTGAATAAATCTTTTTATTTTTGAGATACCCTCCGCCCTTTGAAGACACGACATTTGAGGAAGAGGGATTTGTTTTGATATGAAAGTCAGAAATATCATGGTAAACTTATTTGAATGTTATGATAAATTTCTGATTAAATTCTGATGAAATTCTGACAAAATTCTGATATGACGCGAATCAATTTTGAGTAGAGACATGACCGAGACGAGATCTAGTCCCGTAATTTTGAGTATAATCAAATTTAAAGGGATGTGGCCACAATCCCAGCTCCAAAAATTATTTTAGACATTCTCACTAAAGTGGTTCGTCTTATTTAGATTTAAACAAAAATTAATTAAATTTAAACATATTAAGTAAAAATATAAAGAAGTAAGGAATTCACGAAATGAGAGAATACAGTATACCAAAATTATTCTGTTGTCTTTGACGCTAAGCGGCAATTTTAATCTTTCTTCTGACAAAATTTTCCAGACCAGCCACTTTGGCAAATACATTGTGAAGAATTGGTGGTAGCTAAACACCAACCGTGATCATTACATGCCGAGTCGCCGGAACACGAGGCTGAATTATTTAGGCTTTTAAGAAAAAAAACTCTCTGAGATATTCTATAGCCAAGGTTTCCCGTGTCTTCGATTCCATTAAAAAATTTCAACGACAGCTGTTCAGATGGTTTTCATTTTAAATGGGTAGATGGAGTATGATGAAGGGATCTAGGCGACCCGATTCCCGAAAATCGGGAATTTAATCATTATGTAGGCTAGATCTCTGGTATGTTCCTTGTATACATATTCCGGGAATGCTCCTTTGAAAGGAATGCCCCCATTCCTTCCACAGGGATATGCTTTTTCGCAATTAGCCTTTTTCTCTTATCTCAGGCTTTTTTTATCATAGCCCAAGCTTATCCTAGCCCTAGCTCTACGCTTCTGCATAGCCCTTTTTGTATATCTCAATCAATATATCCCTCCTATCCTAAGAGTCGTATATCCCATCTCTTTTATACTCAATATACTCTATTTATCCCATCTCAAATCCCAAACTCTTAGCCATCCTTTAGCCCCCCATATCAGAATAATAATTGACTTGTATTGCAGCGAGGACCGCAATAGCCTAATCGGCACAAGCACAACGGTTCTGAAGTAGATCCAAAACAATGCCCATTGGAATTGCAATCTGATGGAGAGCAATCCTGTAATTTTTGGGAATTTTTCAAAGCTTTTTGAAAAAATCGAGCCTTTTCCGGCGATTTATTGTGTATCCCTATAGCCAAAATAACTCCCCTTTCATCGCTTTCATCGCTTTCGGAAGACGAGGAACTGTAATCACAACATGGAGATGCTGTTGTGTTTGGTTTTGCCGTTGTTGTTGTTGTTGTGGAGGTTGTAGTTGTTGTTGTGCTTTTTCGCATAAAACAGTCCAAAGAATGATCAAAACAACAAGGACAGGAAGAGTCTATCAACCTCTAAATTTTCAACATAAGATTAACATAAATTCCTAATGTCCCAAGGGTGATGTTCCCTGTGGATGTAAAATGGCGAAAAGAATATACCCCTCCGAAGGGAACATACCAGTTCGAAAGGAACAAACCCTCCGAAGGGAACATTCAAGTTCGAAAGGAACATACCCTCCGAAGGGAACATACTAGTTCGAAAGGAACATACCCCTCCGAAAGGAACATACTAGTTCGAAAGGAACATACCCTCCGAAGGGAACATACTAGTTCGAAAGGAACATACCCCTCCGAAAGGAACATACCCCTCTGAAAGGAACATACTAGTTCGAAAGGAACATACCCTCCGAAGGGAACATACTAGTTCGAAAGGAACATACCCCTCCGAAGGGAACATACCAGTTCAAAAGGAACATAACTCTCTGAGGTTCCAAAGGAACATACCCCTCCGAAGGGAACATACTAGTTCGAAAGGAACATACCCCTCCGAAAGGAACATACTAGTTCGAAAGGAACATAGCCCTTCGAATGGAACATACTAGTTCGAAAGGAACATACTCCTCCGAAAGGAACATACTAGTTCGAAAGGAACATACCCCTCCGAAAGGAACATACAGTTCAAAAGGAACATAGCCCCTCCGAAGAGAACATAACCCTCCAAAAGGAACATACCAGTTCAAAGAGAACGAAACTTATCCTACGAACGAAACTTATCCTTCAGAACAGATTATAGGGCAATATAGCCCTGTGAAGGGATCATACCCTCCTTCATAAAAACTTGCCATATTTGCTATATCCAGGTACAATAAGAAAAGCAACAGAGAATTCAACAAGAATGGCATTTCAATACAGCAAAAATAGAAAAATTGAATTTTACAAGTAAAATAATAGGAATTGGGAGACTATTTAAAACATTTATTTTTGAGTTAAAAAACAAGAAAAATAACTAATAAAATAATAAAATCAACCTTTATGGGACTTATCCTCTTGCTGAAAAGGATTTGCAGAGAGAGATAAAACTATACAAAAATAAAATAAAATTGTAACGAAAATTTCCGTAAAATGCGTATATTCGATAAAAATGTAGATCATTTTTATAAGCTCTAAGTTTGACACAAAACGGCAACTAAAGGGACGGCACCTAAAGGACTTGTAGGCATGTTAAAAAGACATTTGATTCATTATAGAAAATCTCTATCTCTGAAGGAGAATCTCTATCCTCCTCCATATGGAACATACCCTCCAAACGAACATAATACTTCGAAGGGAACACACCCTCTAACTGGTACATACACATCTGAAGAGACATATCCCTCTGGAAAGAACATATCCGGAGATTACACACACTGCAAAGGGTGCATCAGGGATGTACGAGTTTCATGTTTCGCTTCTGTCTTTCGCTTTTTAAAATCGCTTTTGGTAGACCTCTGATACACAAGCCTGAGAGAGTATGAGAGACCGGACCGTGACGAGATCTCGATCAAAAAAATCGAGATCATCGAGTCGAGATTTTGTCTCTCGACCCAATCCGATCTCTAAATAGTATACAAAATCAAGGTTAATTCATTATTGCCCATTTAATTAAAAGGTTTTTATATCCATTTTATTCATTATTTAGACGTTAAAAATAAAAATTGTCAGAAAGGCAATTTTTTGGCACTTTCCAAAATTTTATGGCAAAATATTTTAGTTAATTTTTTAGTCATTTCTAATTAAAATTTCAATCAGTCTCTCCAGCCATTAATTCCCAAAATTCTTCAAATTCAATTTTTCCGCTTCCGTCTTCGTCGATTTCGTCTACTGCGGCATCCAAGTCTTTATCGCTAAGGTCTGGGGCGATTTCGTGAAGTAATCCTTTGAGTGTTGGACGAGAGATGTAACCATTACCCTTAAAATGGAGGGAGTTTTAGTGGATTTAGGGATTATTTCTAGGCAGATAACAAATGATCCCAATTTTTGTAGAAATGAGGCATGTTGGTCCCAAGGGCAGAAAACTCACTCAGTTACCAAAAATTCACTCAATATATTAAAATTCAATTAATTTTTTGTTTAAATAAAAAATAAAAAGCCGGCTCAAAATATTAGATTAAGAAATAGAGTAATTTTTGGAGCTGGGGGTTGTGGCCAGACCCCCTTTAAAATACACTTGAAATTTATTAAAATCTGGATTATCAAAACTTTGTCAGAATATTTTTCAAAAATAAATCACAAAATCCTGAAAACCGAAAAACCTATCAATTACCCCCCCCCCCCTTTGAAAAACCATTTCAATTATCCCATGCCTCTAAAGACTCTCTCAGTTATTCCGCCCCTAAACGGCGCACTCAAATATCCCAACTCAAAAAAAGGTTAATCCCAAGATCCATAAAACACTAAAAATGTATTGAGAATAATCTTAGCTGGTTTGAAAAAAAACTGATCCCAAAATTTCCAACTTCAATATGACTCTTTGAAATTAAATAAATTATTGCCTCTTTGTCGAAGAGACGGAAAGCTTCTCTCAATTCTTTCCGCAAAGTGTCCTTATCTACAGTATTCGCCACAGTGTATACCAAAGCGCAGAATTCGTCAAATTCGATTTTGCCGCTGCCGTCTGCGTCGAATTTTCGGATTAGTCTGTAAAATTTATTTTTAATTTAATATTTATTTTCAAATTTTTAAATATTCGATCTTTTACATGAGCTTTCAAGAGCCTCAAGCCGTATTTAGTGAGGAAATTTTACGGTTAGAGGGGATCAATTCACCATTAAATTGAGAGAGGAAACCCTTATGTTCCTTACAGCCTAGGCCGGCGTTCCTTACACCCAGGACCATTCTTATTTACAATCCAGGCACCCTGACCATTGTTCCCTACAGCCAGACAACCTCCAAGCACAGGCCGATATTCCACTCAGCCCTAGCCAATGTTCCCTACAACCAAGGCAGATGCTCACTCCAGCCACTGCCGTGTTCCTTACTTACAAGGCCAACGTTTCCTACAGCCATGACTACTATGTTCCCTCTCCAGCCAAACCATTGTTCCTTTACGTCTAAGCCGGTTTTCCTTTCACCTTACACATGATTTTCCTTTATAAGTCTAAGGGAGGAAGTCTCCCTCAAACTCACTTCCGAAGAGTTTTTTCATCAAAATCTTGTTCCATAGCATTCATAATTGTCCCAATTTGAGTAGCCATAATATAGCCATTCTTTCCACGGTCAAACATATCGAAAAAACGTTGATACTCCTCAATTTGAGAGCCGTCAATTTCGGCAAGGATTTCTTCTATATTCTCAGCCATTTTTCGAAATAAAATTTTTAAGAGGCTAAAAGGTTCTAAAATAAATTTGAAGGTATTTTTAAGTGTTTAAGCTGAAGAAAAAAAATTTTAAGAGAAGGAACAGAGGAAAAAAGGGGGAAAAAGGGCGAAATAAGGGGAAAGATGTTGATTGGCAAATGACGGAAACTTGGCCAAAATGGAAAGAAAAATCGAAAATATGTGGAGGAAATGAAGGGAAAATGAGTGGGTTGAATTAACAGAACAGGCAAACAATGTTTTAATATGTTAGCCGATTGATGGCTTTGAGTGTGTCTTTAAAGCTTAAAGGGAGAGCTTTGGAGGGAGAGGCTAAGGGAGAGGATAGGGGAAGGCAGGAGAGGAGAGAGGGGAAGTCAATGACAGCCGCTTTTCTTTTTTTTTATTAAAAGCTGATTGAAGAGAGTGGAAGGAATGTTAAGAATGAAGAGAAGGAGAAGACAGTCCTGGATAGTCTCCGTGATTAATAAGTACTGATTTGACTAGTTTATAGGTATAAAATAGTCACAAATCAGGCTCGAGATATTCCCTTCACATTACCAGAAGAGGTTCCCTTCAGATTACTAGGGGATGTTCCCTTCATATTACTAGGATATGTTCCTTTCACATTACCCGACGATGTTCCCTTCACATTACTAGGGGATGTTCCCTTCATATTACTAGGATATGTTCCTTCCACATTACCAGACGATGTTCCCTTCACATTACTAGGGGATGTTCCCTTCACATTACCCGACGAGGTTCCTTTCGCACAGGCAGAAAATGTTCTTTTCACACTACCACTGGATGGTTCCCTTCACATTATCAAAGGAATAAATTATTTAATATATTAAAATTCAATTAATTTTTTGTTAAATGAAAAATAAAAAGGCATATCTAGTAATAATCTAAAATAATGTAATTTTTGGAGCTGGGGGTTGTGGCCAGACCCCCCTTAAAACACAATTGTAATTTACTCTAATCAGAATTATCAAATTAGAATTTCAGAAAATTCTAAATCAAATATAGGACAAATAAAAAAGAAAAGATGTATTTGATTTGAATTTGAAAATATAAATATAAGAATGTTTGATTTGAGAATCAATATAGATCGCGACAGCTGTTGAATGGATGGATTGGCAAGCTAACATAAATAAAAAAGAATGTAAGCTAGAAAAGCCGGGCAAATAATAAAAATGAGAAGGATGAAAAAAGTCTTGAATTTTTAAAAATTTTGAAAAAAATTTTTATTTGAAAATTTTAAAATTTTTTAAGGAAAATTTTAAATGAGAGATACAAGAGGGATACAAAAATGAACTATTTTTCGCGTAAAATTTAATTTTTGACTAAAACTTATTTTAATGAGCAAGATAATTTTTTACACATGGGATATATTTAATAGCTTATTTTATGCTCTATCCAATGCTATCAAGATTAGAAAAATTGATTCAAGAAAACAAAAGTTAAAGGACTTCGAAACAAGTGACCTTCCATTTTTTACAGTATGTAAAATTTAGTTTTTTGCCCACAACTTTTTTGAGCAAAAAGGATAAATTTTTAAACATGCTCTATTTAATAGACTATTTTATGCTCTATCGAATGATACCAAAATCATCTAAATTGGTTCAGGGAATCAAAAGATATATGGAAAGGAGTTGACCAACCTTGAAGTTCTTTTTGAGAGCCGTTGATTTAATGTTTAAATAAAAACACTTTTTATTTTATTTTTGGCGTTCTGTTTTTTTCTTAATATCTCTAACTACTCTATTCTCTAACCTAGCGAAATAGTTCGCTTTTTCGCCACGTCATCTTCAAAGTTTTCTTGTTTTTAATTTTTTCAATTAAAATTTTTTAACTTTTGTAATCTTTTTAGGCTTATTTAGCTATAATAATTTGAGAATAATGGCTTTATTAAAGAAATTTGAGTCAAAAAGTGCTCGAGTTAAAGGTTAATTTTTTTGATTGGAAATGTTTAGGTTAGTTGGGGGAATTATAAGCTTTGTCCGACCTTTTGTGGAGGATTCTTTAAGTATTTCTTTGGTTGAGGCTACCTCAAAAATACTCATAGAGCCAGGAAATGAATTTATCCAATCCATCTTTTGGTTTTTTCCTGGAGTCAAGTCAATGCCTTGATTCAAGTCATGTTTCCGACAGAAATTTGCACGATTGCGAGTTAAGGTCTGCCTTAATTTTAAGGTCTACCTTAAATGCCCACAAATGCTCTCCAGTAGAGATCGAGATTTTTGAATGGCCTGGGCTTGTAGTCCAGGGAAATCCCCAGGCGTTGGGAACATGCTCAGCTCTCTCCGTTTACTTGACTCAGGATCGACTAATTTAGCCGCCACGATTTCAGATTCCTCCCTCCAATTCTAGCATATCCCCAATCTGTCCTCATTTTTTCTGACCAACTTTAACTTGCTTCCAGGCCTAGCTAAACCTTATTTTGTTCATAAACCATATTTAATATTTTCTTTATTACAGGAATTTCATTTCACCCAACTCGTCCATGGGTGCTAGCGTCGCTTCACAGCGGAGTTATACAACTTTGGGATTATCGTATGTGCGTTTTAATTGACAAGGTTTTCTTTAAATTTGTTTTGACTGTTCAAAAATTTTATTTTTAGTTCGACGAGCACGATGGTCCTGTCCGAGGAGTTGATTTTCACTCGCAACAGCCAATTTTTGTTTCTGGGGGAGATGACTACAAAATTAAGGTTGCTTTTTTAAAATTTTTGAAGAGGCTTGATTTGTCGTTTAGGTCTGGAATTATAAACAAAGAAAATGTATTTTTACGTTATTGGGACATTTGGACTATATCAGAACGACTTACTTCCATAAACAACATCCTTGGATTATTAGCGCGTCGGATGACCAAACTGTTCGAATTTGGAACTGGCAATCGAGGATTTCTATTGCGATTTTGACGGGTTTGTTTTGGGGGTTTTTGAATGGTTTTGAGGTTCCTAAAGTCGTTTTTTATGTTAAAAAATTTTTACGAGTTGCTTGGTAACACCTGGACCTACGCATTTTTCGAGTTCTTTGGGTTTTCTGTTTTCCAGGCATGTGATCCAGACCTTGACCTTTTTTTAAATTCCTTTTTAATCCCCCTCTCTTTAGTAGAGACTGGGACGTGCGCTCGAACATATATCCTGGTTATTGTCATCGAGATTCTTCTGGATAGGTGTCTCATATGATTTTTATACGGCACTTTCCGTCATGCCCCTAATCTTTATTCCACCCCCTATTTTCCATTTTAAGGCCACAATCACTATGTTATGTGTGCCCAATTTCATGCTACCGAGGATCTTGTAGCCAGTGCTAGCCTTGATCAAACTGTTCGTATTTGGGATATTTCTGGACTTAGAAAGAAGAATTCGGCGCCTGGAGGAGGCTCTAGCGTTACAAGTGGAATGAGCCGTTTTGGTTCAACTTCTGTTAGTTCTGCACAAACTGAATTATTTGGACAACCTGATGTTGTTGTAAAACATGTACTTGAAGGACACGATAGAGGTCTGGAAAAAATTTTTGTTTGCAAAATTTTTGCGGACAAAAAATTGTCCGCAAAAAATTTGCGGACATAAAAATTGTCCGCAAATTTTTTGCGGACAATTTTTAAAATTTAGAAAATTTTTCCATTTTTAAGGAGTCAATTGGGTCTCTTTCCACCCTTCAATGCCTTTGCTTGTTTCTGGAGCCGATGACCGTCAAGTCAAACTTTGGCGTTATAATGATAGCAAAGCTTGGGAGGTAGACTCTTGCCGTGGGCATTACAACAATGTTTCCTGTGTTATATTTCACCCAAAGGCTGAACTTATTCTTTCAAATTCTGAAGACAAAAGTATTCGGGTTTGGGATATGCAGAAGAGAACATGTCTTCAGGTTTTTTTTGGGGGGGCGAGGGAAAGGGGGATTTTTAGGGGATTTGGGGAAATTTTTAAAAATTTCAAAAAAATTTATTGAATGGGGTGGGCATTTTAAACAAAATTTTAGGTTTTTGGGAACCTGGAGGGACTTTGGTTTTGGGGAAATTTTTAAAAATTTCAAAAAAATTTATTGAATGGGGTGGGCATTTTAAACAAAATTTTAGGTTTTTGGGAACCTGGAGGGACTTTGGTTTTGGGGCATTTTTCAAAAATTAAAAAAATTAAATTTATTGAATGGGGTTGGGGTGGGCATTTTAAACAAAATTCTAGGTTTTTTGGAGCATTTTTCAAAATTTTTAAAAAATCATTTCTCCATAAAATTATTAATTTTCTTTTCAATTATTCTAGAACTTCCGCCATGAAAACGACCGTTTTTGGGTCTTGGCTAGCCATCCATCACTTAATCTTTTTGCTGCTGGTCATGATAATGGAATGATTGTCTTCAAAACAGAAAGAGAACGTCCTCCATATTGTATTCAAGACAATTTAGTTTTTTATGTAAAAGAACGGCAATTACGTCGACTTGATTTAACTACAAAGTTTGTGATTTTTAATGGAATTTTTCAAAAAAAAAAATTTTTTTTTTAAGTAAAGACACTCCTCTAGCTCATCTCAAACCAAACAAATTAACACAACCTTTTTATTCTGTTCATTACAATCCAGCGGAAAATTGTTTTTTGTTGATTACACGGCCTTCAAATAATATTGAGTCGAGCACCTGCGATTTTTATAAGGTAAAAAAATTTTTTTAATTTTGTTTAAAAATGTCCAAATTTGGAAACCTTCAAACTTTCAAAATGGGACACGTCCAAGTAGGCGCGCAACCACAACGGCATAAAACCATACTTGCTGGAAATTTTCTGGCGTTATCATCGGTACCAATCTCTTTAGCTCGATGAGAGGAATCGTTTAATACTAAATTTGGTAGGATTCAGAAATCTCGAAGTAAGTTATGGCCGCGCGCCTACTTTAGCGTGTCTATTTAAAATGTCAAACTTTTAAAATGCCAAAATATTAAAATTTCATAATGTCAAAAATTTTTTTTCTTAAAGATCTCCCAAAAAGAAGGAGAACTCGAACCTGTAGACGTCAAACGAGCTCCCAGTATCGCATCAATATGGGTTGCCCGTAACAGATTTGCTGTTCTTGACAAATCCCATCAATTAAGCATTCGTGATTTACAAAACCAAGAAAGTCGAAAAATTGATTATACTGGTCCAATTGATGATATTTTTTATGCTGGAACTGGACTTTTAATGTTAAAAAACCCGGATAGTGTTTCTATTTATGATGTTCAACAAAAACGTGTTTTGGTTAGCTTGAAAGTTAGCAAGGTTAGTTGAGAAATATTTTTGCGTTTAAAGCTAGTAAATAGTGTCGGATTTTTAGATACCCCTTGATGCTGATAAATAGCATTTTTGTGACTTTTTTCCTTCTGTTTTTGGCCCATCCTCCCAAATTTTTTCAGCATTTCAATGGGGCAGACCCGTAACCAGGATTTTTTGGGAGGGTGGAAGCGGGGGGAAATCATTCTAGCGCCAGAATTTTGAATATGTTTTATTTTAAATTTGAATTGTAAAGAGGGTCGGATCTCATTTTTAAATACCCCTTTAATGCTGAAGAATAGCATTGTCAGTTAGTGATTTTTCTCCATTTGTTTTCGGTCATCCTTCCAAATTTTTTCCACCATTTCTATGTAGGAGGCCCGCAACCAGGATTTTTTCTGGAGGAAGGTGTGGGGGTAGGGATGGCGAATACTTCTCGCACCTGAATTTTTGGGCCAAAAATGCCACGAATTTTTATTTTTGGTGCCGCAGGCGAAAATTTTTAGAAGGCCATATTCCCCTCTTCCGGCCCTTGTTAATAGGCATATATATTTTTTCAATTCAATTTCAGGTTAAATATGTTATTTGGTCAAAAAATATGGAATATGCAGCTCTTTTAAGCAAACATACTGTTACTTTAGTTACACGAAAACTTGCAGTAATTTTTTTGTTTAGAAAAATTTTTAAAAATTTCCTCCTTTTCAAGCTCCTTTCATCAATTCAAGAATCAACTCGTGTAAAAAGCGGTGCTTGGGATTTGGATAATGACGCTTTTATTTATACAACTTCAAATCATATAAAATATGCATTGACTTCTGGTGGTGATCATGGAATTATTAGAACGATGGATATTCCTGTTTATATTTTGGCTTTGAGAGGAAATCGTTTGTATTGTTTAAATAGGTTTTCTTTTAATTCTTTATTCGAAAATGTAAAATTTGTGACCGACAGGATGTGCGTTTTTCCTCTGAATAGTTCCCTCCCTCCATTACCTCTTCCCCATTTAATGGATTTTTTTTAAATTTAATTTTTCCTGAAAGAGTCATTAAAATGTACATTTTTCACCCTCACTTCCCCTGCTAAATTACTAAAAATATTATTTTGGCCTTACAATGAGGTTAGTAACAGGGATGTCACGGGTTGAGAAAAATGTCGGGTCGGGTTTCCAAAACTTTTCTTTGATCGGATTTCAGGTCGAGGCTTCGTGTAACTCGTGACATCTCTGGTTTGTAAACTTTTACCTAGTCATTAAACCCTTGAAAAAAATTTTTTTTTATTTAATTTTGTTTTTTAAGAGATGCTTCTCCAATTGAATTAACCATTGACCCAACAGAATATCGTTTTAAACTTGCACTTATCCATCGTCGTTATGATGAAGTTTTGAATATGGTTAGAAGTGCTAATTTGGTTGGTCAATCAATTATCGCATTTTTACAAAAGAAGGGATATCCTGAATTGGCATTACATTTTGTTAAAGATGAAAAGACTAGATTTGGATTGGCTTTGGAATGTGGAAATCTTTCGGTATTTTAAAAATTTTTTTCAATTTTGGGATTTTTTGGTCCTAGCTGTTATAAATTGAAACTAAGTAGTTGGCGTTTAATTTTTCTGTTACTATGACCTCGACATTTTTGGATTCGAAAAGTTCAGGTTCGAGTTTTTGTTGTGTTGAACATGTCGAGGTCGGATTTTAACGTTATCATTCAGTGTGGCAATTTAGCTATGGTTAGACGGGATTGATGTCCAAGACTCTTGGTCTTGATTCTTTACTCAAGACTTTTCATTTATTTTTTTCGTTATTGGTCTTGGGGTGTAGTCTTGGTCTTGAATCTTGAAAAATTTTTTGTCTTGGACATTTCTATTAGACGGGGATGGTGTCCAAAGTCCTAACGGTTACCCTTAGTTTTTAATCATTAATTTCGACACCTTTTCAGCCAATTGTCAAAGGGCTTCAATTTTCTATTTGATTAACCATCATTAACTACTCTAGTTTTTAAACTTTCCTCAAAAAAATTTTTTTAGATAGCATTAGAAGCAGCCAAAGTACTTGATGATACTGCTGCATGGAATGCTTTAGGAGAAGCTGCATTAATGCAAGGAAATCATCAAATTGTTGAAATGGCATATCAAAGAACTAAAGATTTTGAACGTTTAGCATTTTTATATTTAATAACTGGAAATGTTGAAAAATTACAAAAAATGCAAAAAATTGCGCAAATACGCAAAGATGTACATGGACAATTTCAATGTGCTTTAATGTTGGGTGATGCTGAGGAAAGAACTAAAGGTTTTTTGGGGTTTTTACAAGGGAAGATGGTCTACTTTGAACAGGGATTTGGTATTTTTTCGGTACCATTCGACAAGTGCGTAGCCAGCGGGCTTTTTGGAGCTAAAGCCCTCCCCCCGAAATCGACCCCTTGATACGCCCTTGCCATTCTATAGAGGACATTTGACTTCCTATTTCCTAACAATAAGTGATGTATTTTTTTACAAAATGACTTGGAGTTGAGTTTTGGCCATTCAAAATTAGGGGCTTTGGAGATGGGTGAGTATCAGGAAATGAAAAAGAGGGAAGGAGAAGCTAATTTACGATATAACTTCAAACTCTTGCAGCTGAACCTTTAACGGCCATAACTTGACCTAAATTCATTTTTCAAAAAAAAACAGATTCACTTTGCAATAGTAAGTCTGGAGTCCTCTGTCGAATTCTACCAAGAAAACTGCAAAATTCCTGTACACAGTAGACCATGTTCCCTTGATTGTTTTTTTATTTTAATTTTTTTTTTGAAGTTCTAAGAGAGTTAGGACAAATTTCATTGGCATATTTATCAGCTACTACACATGGATTAACTGAAGAAGCTTCTCAATTGACATTAGAGCTTGAAAATAAAAACATTCCTGTTCCCGATGCAAATCCAAATGCAAAACCTTTTGTTCCTCCTAAACCGTTGTATCCTCTAACAGAGAATTGGCCTCAATTGACAGTTTCTGTTGGACCTTTTGATACACAATTGCTTTCTAATACTACTACTAAAAGTGAGGAGAACTTTTTTTTTTGGATTTTTTTTAATTTTTGGCGTTATTTTTTGGTTTCTTGGAATTAGGATTGGTGGATCCTTATTTCCGTATTCAATAAAAGACTGGATATCCTGGACATTTTTTGGGTATGATATGAATCCAAGGTATTTTTCAGTATCTTTTTCCCAAATATTTACTTTAGCTGTTACCCTGTAGTGGTTTTCCCAGGACTTGCCAAGGAATTCCCAGGATTTACCAAGGGATTTCCAATGAGCTTCAGAGTACATGATGTGCTAACTTTTGTTCGAATCCATTTTTTCTATATTTTAGAAGCTCCTACAGCCAAAACTCCTGCCCTCAATGCTTTTGCTGCTGAACAGAATGAAGATCATACTGAAGGTGAAGCATGGGGCGTTGATGAAGATTTATTATTGGATGAAGAAGGTAATCCAGAAATGGATGAAATTGAAATGATTGGAGGCGAAGAGGATGAGGAAGGCGGTTGGGATGTAAGTTGAATTTTTTTCTTACGGAAAGATGTTAGTGATGTGCCGAAACCGTTCATAAAATTCGAAAGACGAAAGGCCAAACACCAAGGAAGCTGAAAACCCCTTCCATTGAAATTTCTATTTTTCAAATTTTCAGGTTGACGAAGAAATAACTCAAGCTGTCGAATCTATGCGCATTGGTGCTGGAGATGAGGCTGCGGATGATGGGTTTACTTTACCCCAACGTGGACATGCTCCCCCATTTTATTGGCCTGGAAATTCTCGTCTTACTGCTGATCATGTTGCTGCGGGTGCATTTGATTCAGCTGCTAGATTGTTGGAAGAATCACTTGGAATTGTGCAAATTGGTCCTTTTAAATCTTTGTTCCTTTCAACTTATGCTAAGTATTTTTAAAAAAAAATTTTTATTAAAAAATAATTGCTAGGTCTCGTGTAGCATGTTGTGCAATGCCTCTCTCCCCTCCAAATTTTATTTATCCTATGCGAAATTGGCAGGAAAGTTTACCAAAATCATCACTTCCAGCTGTTTCTTTAAAGGTTTTTTTACAATTTTAAGGTCCTCTAAATTAAGATTTTTTTCTAGTTAAATGATCTTGCGCAACGTTTACAAATTTGTTATAAATTAACTACAGATGGAAAATTTGTTGAATCTGTTCAACGTTTTAGACAAATACTTCTTTGTATACCTTTACTTGTTGTTGATTCAAAACAAGAGGTTTAAACATTTTGAAATTTTTTAAAAAACTTAATAGTAAATATCCGTTCTTATCGACTTATAAAAGTCGAGACAGAGAACCTTGTCAAAATATTCTAGCTAAAGTTTTAAGTTTCGACCAAGATTTGCTGTGGCTTTCCCCTTATATTTTCGTTAAATAAGTATAAAGAGAAACTTTTTTTCACGAGATTAGTTAGTAAACCAAATCCGTGTCTCAGTCAACTTAAAGACCGGCGCGGGACGGGATCCCAAAGGGATTTTCCGTGATTCCGAAATCCGAATTTTTTTGTGTTTCGTGGGTCGGGATTTTTGGGGATTCATCCCCGGGATCCCGTCCTGGCATCGGTTAAGAAAAAATCCCGACTCGGGATTTCATAAGTACGATTTTGCCTGTCTCTATTCTCAACCAGAGTTGTTTCAAGACAGAAAAATCTTCGATAATCCAACTTTCAAAACATTTCTGTTCTCAACATTTTTTCTTAATTTAAAAAAATTTAGGTTTTGGAAGCTCAACAATTGTTACAAATATGCCGAGAATATTTAGTTGGTCTTTTACTTGAAACGGCACGAAAAGAATTGCCTCGTGAATCTACTGATGATGCAAAACGAAATTTAGAAATGGCTGCCTATTTTACAAATTGTGATATTCAACCTATACATAAAATTTTAACATTGAGAACTGCTGCAAATTTGAGTTTTAAAAATAAACAAATGAGACATTGTGCAACATTTTGTCGTCGATGCATTGAATTGGGTATTTTAATAATTTGAATTTTTTAAAAAATTATAGGGGAAAACTGATAGTAATATAATAATGAAAGCCTTTCCAATTGAAATATTTATTCCAAAATTAAAATATATTAAAAAGGGTGAATGGAAAGGACCCGGCAGTTCCCGGAGCGTTTTATAATACCAAAAGCTTGTAATACCAAACCCCTAAAAGATGTTGAGATACCAAGTGATTTACTAACGACGGGGATGTTGTTTCGACGACAATGTTTGGTATTTTAAGCTTTGGTATATCAAGCTTTTGGTATTATAACATCATACCTGCTGTTCCCCAGAATTAACCAAAAAGGATTGGGAAGAGTAGAGAGTTGCATAAAGGGTAAAAATATTGGGAGGAACATTTTAAATAGCAAGGGCGTAGCCAGAGGGTCGATTTCGGGGGGGGGGGGGCTAACACTGGGTGTGCGCAAAATTTTTGGCGTTTACCTTGGCGTTCTGGACCCAAATTTTTTTGAACCATATTTTTATTTTTTTCAGCGCCGCAGGCGAAAATGTTTTTAATTTTGGAGCTCAGAAGCCAGATTTCTTCCATTTTAAGCGCCGCAGGCGAAAATTTTTAAAATTATGAAGGCCGTAGGCCAAAAAATTCACTTTTTTGCTAATTCTTCCCCTAATTTTTCTCCCCTTTCTTCCATTTCGGGGGGGGGGCTTTAGCCCCAGAAGCCCCCCCCCCCTTGGCTACGCCCTTGTTAAATAGGTATGCCTTTGGTATGGCATCTTACTGACAGTTTCGGACAGAACTTAAACTAAGAATCGAGGCTTTTTTATTTTGTTTCTGCTTCCCAAAAATTTCGTTCCAATTCCCAAGTTTCGGTTCTCCAACCCTAACGGGTCGGTTTCTTTTATTTGTCGAATTTCTTTTGGTTTTATTTTTGAGTATTATCACGCCCTATTTTCCTGAAAAATTTTTTTCTAAATTTTTTAGGACCTAAACCAGAAGTTGCTGCACAAATGAGAAAAATGCTTTCTGTAGCAGAACGTGATAATACTAATGCATATGAAGTTTATTTTTTTGAAAAATTTTTTTGATAAAATTTTTTTTATTTTTCTTTAAGATAAATTATGATGAGCACAATCCTTTTGTGTTATGTTCAAAAAGTTTTACACCTCTTTATCGAGGAAAACCACAAGTAAAATGCCCTTTTTGTGGAGCGAGTTATATGCCTACATTTGTTGGTTCTGTCTGTGATGTTTGTGAGGTTTGGAAATTTTTTTATGAATTTTTTTTTTATGATTTTAATACTCCAACCGGGGATAGTGTCTTAAAAGTTAGTGGTCCAAAAATTATTTTAGAATATTTGGGGGAAGGAGAGGAGAAACTTACCCAATTTTTTTGGTTGGGGAAAAATTATATTTGGCCTGTCTTCTATGCGAATCGGGGTTGGGAGAAGGGTTACGTGAAACAGAAGCTCGGACTTTTTCCTTGACCCGTAGAGAGGAGAAACTTACTCCATTTTTTGATTGAAATAAAAGCATCTGGCCTGTTTTTTGTGGAGGGGTTACTTAAAGCTCGGACTTTTTCTAGACTCGATTCAAGACACCCGGAACCTCGGACTTTTTTTCAACCCGGAACTCAATCCGAAAAAGGTTTTCATTGCTTGCTTTGAGTTTTTCTCAATTAAATCCCTGATTCGAATTAAAATTTGGGCGCGATTCTGACTAATTAAAATTTTAAAAAAATCGAAAAAAAATATTTTTTAAAGGTAGCAGAAATAGGAAGAGATGTTCCAGGATTAAGAATTGCTTCAATTCAAAGTGGGAAATGAGAGAGAGACATTTGGGTGATTTTTTGTGTATAATTTTTTTTTAAAAATCAAAAAAATTCATAATTGGAATTGTTACTATGCGCCTTTTTTGGTTAATTTTATTTAATATATTCTATTCTGTTGTGGGTATTTTTTAAATTCATTTGTGAGTAATGGAAATTAATTAAAAATTAATTTTCTAATAATGGGTACAGCTTGGCGCGCGTCCATAACGGCGCAAGCCACAACTTGCTTCAAGATTTCCGAATATTACCAAATTTTGTATTAAACGATTTCTCTCGTCGAGCTAAAGAGATTGGTACTAAAATTGATAAGGGCCAAAAATTTTCCAGCAAGTTATGGCTCTGCGCCTTTATGGCCGCGCGCCTAATTGGGCGTGTCCAAGTAATAATTTATTTTAAAAAAATACTCCAACAATTTTTAATTTAAAAAAATTCAAAAAAAAATTTTCCTTGTTTGTTCTATTTTGTGTTTCCTTTTTTTAGGCAAAAATGATATTTTAAAATAGATAAATATTGTTCTTTTAAAAAAAGAATTTTTCTATTAGTATATGATTATTAAAGAAAATCTTTTTATATCTAATATATTTAATTATATGTGATAATTAATATTTGAACAAGCGTTCGGACAGGTCACGCCAAAACGGGGATTGAGAGTTTTTTTCTTCTTGAGAACCCCCCCCCCCCCCCCCCCCCCCAAAAAAAATACCAAACCCTCAAAATCCGTCGAAATACCAAACTGTTTGTTTGACATTTTGATCTGGGTAAATAGGTCTTTTGGGAGTAACTGGTCTTCTGGGTAAATAGGTCTTTTGGGGGTGGACTCGACGCTTTGATAACAGGACTTCATATCATTTTTTCTCGATCTGTCCGAACCCTGATGTTGAGAAAATTTTCATTTTTTTTGTTTTTAGAAAATTTAGTTAAAAATAAAAAAAAAGGATGCGTCTTGCTTTACGCCTTTCCCGTCCAGCTCCGAACCAAAATTTAAAGAATCCACGACTCTGGCAAGATCCAGTATATGGCTATTATGAAACGCACGGAAAAATGGAATTTTTGCCTGGAGAACAATACAATTTGTCTGATGATGAGAAAAAGGCTGTGTTGTGGCGTTATCGGGTTAAAGAGGTTTTTATTTGAATTTAGAAGAAGGAAAGGATTTAAAAAAAATTTTTTCAGATTTTAAAGAAGGAATATTTTCGTCGTGAATATAATCCTCATACGTTTAAATACAAGGTTTGATAATTAAATTTTTTTAATTTTTTGGTTTATTTGGTCTTGCTTATTTTCGGGCCCCTTTCCCTTTGTTTCTTTATGGGTTTACAAGAAGCCAAGGTGAGACTTTCAGGCAATATGAAAAATATAATTGAGCTCTTGGCTCTTAGGTATCGTTTCACCTTGGCTGTTTAACATAAGTTCTAACTAGAATGGGTCCTTGACCTTTTTTTGGGATTGCTTGACTCCCTTATTTTTGTGTCCCTCTCTCTCTGTGTTTCCTTATCGTTTGACAAAAAGCCAAGGTGAAACTTTCAAGTTAGTCCGAAAAATGATTGAAATCTTGGCTCTTAAGTATCCTTTCACCTTGGCTTTTTAACAGAAACTAATTTTGTTCTAACCATAATGGGTCCGTGACCTTTTTTAATTTTTAAATAAAGGGAGAGGATAAGCATAAAAGGGAGGGATGGGTTAACCACGTTTATTAACAAAACAAAAAAAAATTTTTTTAAAGCAAGGAATCATCCTCGATCCAGCAATGTTTCGTTGGTATGCTGCTGATATGACACAAATGGAGTATATGCGATTGACTCCTAGAAGTCTTTTTATGTATGCTGGAATAACTATGTTGGTCTTTTGGTTAATAACTAAATTGGGAGTGATTAGCATGGTTTGTTTATATTTTTCCGTAGTAAAAATCAGCAAATCGAGGTCGTCAAGAATTTTTAAAATTTTTTTGGTACCATTCGGTAAAGGGCCAAAAAAATATTTTATGAGGCAATTTTATTTTTTATGGGAAATGACGGGGCCGTATTATGGTTATTTAATGTTGACCCCCAAAAAATTCCATTCTGGACTGTCTTTTTCTATAAAAGTTGTAAGGCTCGGCTAATTTCGCGTTTGGTCGGCTAATTCCTTATTGGTAAAAGACAAATTTTTTTGTTTATTTTGAGTAGGGTTGCCGGCCTGGTTCGATAGATCGAACTGGGCATAGATTTGTGAACATCGAATTTTGACCTGAAAAAGACTCGACCGGTCCGGCTCGGAAAAATTAGGCCCGAAAACGTCGGCTTGGTTCGGAAAAGGCAACCCTAATTTGTGGGCTGTATTCTGATAGAAAATAATTTTTGAAAAAAATTTTTTGATGGTTCTCTGAAAATTTTTTTTGAATTTTTTTGTCCTAAGGTTGTGCATTCCTAAGGCTGCGGCGTGGTATAATTGATAGCACATCAGTCGGTATACTGACAATGAAGATGCTGGTTTGCTCCCAGCCGCGAATAACTTTTTGCACTAGTTAAAGGAGAGAAATAGCTAAAGCCCAGCTGCGTTTACTCTCTATTCTGAAATTCTGATTTTTCAAAAATTTTTTGAATAAAAAAATTTTTTTAAATTCTTTTTTTAGGAAAAAGATTCTGATGATTGTTTGACTGGAGAAATGCTTTGGTGGGATCGGTATAGAAATAGATTCGAATTTGTTGGTGGTAATGCACCTCCTCGTCAAGTTTTACATGCTCATTGTTAAAAAGAAAATTTTAGTGGAAAATATTTTTTGTTTAAGCTAAAAATTGAGAAAAAAATTTTTTTGTGTAATGAATAAAAATTTTGAAAAAATTTTTTGAATAAAAATTTTGGAAAATTTTTTGAAATTTTTTACTGGATTTTTTAAAATTCTTAATTATTTTTTTATAATTTTTTTTTATCAATTTTTATAGTTTGCCCTGTATTTTTTTAGTTTTTAAATTTAAAATTTTGTTAAAAAGAAAATGAGTGAATATCCACATGCAAAGAAATTGGATGTTACCAAAAATGTTGAAAAATTTAAAGAAATTAAGGATAGCATGGCTATGCAGGTTTTTACTAATTTTAAAAGCCATTATGATTTAATTCTTGGTCGATTGTTTTTAAAGTAGGGCGCTCTTTTGACTGGACTCTTTCGAGCAGGGTTGTCCGCAAGTTGAATTTTTTCGATTTAGTGGCATTCGATACAGCTATACATTTTGTCGATTTTAATTTTTAAATTTGTATCAGAAATTGCGGACAGCCCTTTTTTCTAGGTGTGGCTTTGACTTCCTTTTGATAGGCTGGTCTCTTTTCTGTACTTGAGTTAAAAATTTATAAGTCGTTTCTAGGTCCCTTTGATACAGCTAGACTTTTCAGTCATAACCAAAATTGACCCTGGTTGTTGTAAGCTGTTTTGTTTAATATCAGTCAGGTGTCCATGCTTCTATTTTTTTTTAATAATTTTTGTTTAATTTTAACTTTTTTAGTATCCTTTTGAACTTGACCCTTTTCAACAACACGCCGTTTGTAAAATGGAAGAAGGCGAATCTGTTTTTGTTGCCGCACATACAAGTGCGGGTAAAACAGTTGTTGCAGAATATGCTGTTGCTCTGTGTAAAAAGAATAGAACAAGGTTTATTTTGAGTATTCAATAGTGTGCGGCACGAGACAGGATTCCGCATGAGATTTTCCCGTGTTTTAAGCGTTGAACGGGATTAATCTCGCGGGATCCCGTCTATTTCGAAAACAAGTAGGTTACGGGATCCCGTAAATGCAATTTTGCCGCACACTAGTATTCATGTATTTATATTCTGATTTTCAGAGTGATTTACACGTCTCCAATCAAAGCGCTCTCAAATCAAAAATTTCGGGATTTTAAATTGACTTTTGACGATGTTGGTTTAATTACTGGAGGTTAATTTTGGACTTTTAACGGGTCATTTAGGGGAGCAGGCCAACGTACCGCGAGCTCAGCTTACCGCTATAACCTTGTTCAGAATTGTCGAATCCGGGACGCCCTGGTGCAGTTCGATTCAGCTCGTCGAGGCGCATCGAATCATTCCAGTACATTCCGGATCCACAAAATTGAACGAAGTTATAGCTCTTAAGTACGTTGGACTATTGGTACGAAAGGTTTTGAGTTTTATTTTCTCCATTTCCTTTTTAGTAATGGAAAAATCTAAAATCTTTAATAGATTTCCCCAAATTCTTAGGTTATCCGAAATCAAGAGCGTAGCCAGGGGTTGATTTCAGTGGGATTTTTACAATATTTTCCCCTTCTTCCTATTTTAGGGGGAGGGGTTCAGAAGTCCCCTCTGGCTGTGCCCTTCTCCCAAACTTAACCAAAGTTTTATGAGTTTTATTTCAATTTGAAGCTAAAAACCCCTTATTGGTTTAATCGGCAGAAACAAGGGAATACTGGCAAAAATAAAAATGGGACCTCTAAACTTAAAAAAAAATTTTTTTTAATTTTTAGACATTCAATTAAATACGGAAGCTAATTGTCTCATTATGACAACAGAAATTCTTCGTTCAATGTTTTATAATCATTCGGAAGTTATCCGAGAACTTGAATGGGTTATTTTTGATGAAGTTCATTATATTAATAATATTGAGGTTTTTTTAAATTTTTTTTTTGAAAATTTTTTAATTTTTAAGAGAGGTCATGTATGGGAAGAAGTGTTAATTATGTTGCCTAAATATGTAAAAATTGTTATGTTAAGGTATATTTTTGAATAATTTTTGGGAAATAGAATAGTTTTGGGCATAATTTGGATAATGAGGGACATGCTCAACTAGGCTAAAGGAGCAGCATCTCTGACACATGTTTTTAGATGCTTCTCTGCTTTTTTCCAAGGGAAGGGAGGAGGATCTTGAATTTTTGTTTACATACATAACAAGTAGAGACCGGAGCTTTTTTTTTATACGGGAAATGATCTCTCTTCAGAGCTATTGCGATTCGTATGGAACGGACGCAGACCGCAACTGACCGCTGGTCAATTTTTCTGCGTCTTTTGCATACGAGAAAGAAGCCTTTATTACAAGCGCTCTGAAGAGACATTATTTCCCGTATAGAAAAAATTCCGGTCTCTAATAGCAAGGATCTTGAAATCTCTTATATGTATTAGAGTCCGGCAAAATCGCATTCCCTGGATCCCGGAACGGGATTTTTTTCAAAATTTTGTACGGGACGGGATCCCGCGGGATTAATCCCGTAAATCCCGGTAATCCCGTTTTCCGCGAAAAACCCGGGATTCCGGGACGGGATCCCGTAAAATCCCGTACGGGGTCCCGTCCCGTGCCGGTCTCTTATATGTATTCATGTTTTTTTAGTGCAACAGTCCCAAATTGTCTTGAATTTGCTGATTGGGTTGGGTAAGTCTTTTAAAAATATTTTTTTCAATAAAAAAATTTTTTAGACGCATAAATCACAGAATAATTTATGTAGTTGAAACACTCAAAAGACCCGTACCTTTGGAACATTTTTTATATTGTGGACAGGATGGAAAGACGAGAAATGATATTTTTTTAATTTTTGATACTGAAGGAAATTTTAAAAATTCTGGGTAAATTTTTTTAACAGAAAATTAAAAAAAAATTTTTTTAAGTTATCAAAAAGCAGTAGAAGCAAAAGACAAAGCTCAAAAAAATCAAAAGTATGGAATGGGACAAGTTGGGCCTGTAGGAGGACATCCTTGGCAGTTAAATAAAAATGTTTGTTTTGTTTATTTTTTTAAGAAAATTTTTTCTAAAATTTTCAAAAATTTCAGAAATTTTTTTTTGAAATTTTTTTTGGATTTTAAAAAATTTTAGAAAATTTCAAAAAAATCAAATCAAAAAAAAATTTTTCAAAAAAATTTCATAAAAAATTTTTTGAAAATTTTCAAAAAATTTCAACAATTTTCAAAAAAAAAATTTTTTTTTTTTGTAATTTTTTGAAAAATTTTTTTGATTTGATTTTTTTGAAATTTTCTAAAATTTTTTAATATTTTAAAAATTTTCAAAAAAATTTTTTATAAATTTTTTCAGAACAAAAATGTTTATATCAACCTAATTTCTTATTTAAACACCAAAGATTTATTACCAATGATTGTTTTTATTTTTTCTCGACAACGTTGTGATGAAACTGCTCAAATATTAAATTCTGTTGATTTAACTAGCGAATCAGAAAAATTTGCAATTCATCATTTCTTTAATCGGTGTATTGATAGATTGACAGGCTCTGATAAGGAATTGCCTCAAGTTTGTTTTTTTGTTGATTTTTCTTGGGTTTTTTCGGGTGGACAAACCTCTCCTTTTACAGAGAGGTTTTATCATTTCCTTACTTTTTTGTTCATTTTTAGGGATGGGGGCCCGGTCCGAAAGATTGAGTCGGGCATTGAATTTTGGCCCGAAAAAGACTTGGTCGGTCCGGTCCGATAAAAATGAAGCCCGAAAAGAATGACTCAAACGTCGGTCCAACTCGAAAACACCAACCCTTATCATTTCCCTCTCAATTTTTTTTTAAATTTTTTCTCATTTCGGAGAGGGTGTTAGGCTAAAGCCCTCAGTTACTGGAGTGTCGCTATTTCTTTAACATTCCGAAATTTTTTTGGATTATTTGTTGGATTTTGGCCCATTTTTTCTTAATTCTCTTTCTAATCCTGTCCAATCTCATTTTGGAAGATGGGTCTCTTACCACGGCCTCTTTATGAATCCTTCAATTTTTTGATATTTCTCTCTTCTTTTTTTTCAGGTATTATTAATGCAAGAATTATGTAAACGAGGTTTTGCTGTTCACCATTCTGGAATTTTGCCAATAATTAAAGAAGTTGTAGAATTACTTTTTCAAAAAGGTTTAGTTAAAATATTGTTTGCAACTGAAACTTTTGCTATGGGGGTAAATATGCCTGCTAGAAGTGTTGTTTTTGATTCTATTGAAAAACACGATGGAAAGGAAAAAAGAATTTTAAATTCGACAGAATATGTTCAGGTTCTTTGAAAATTTTTTTTATGGTCATACCTCTTTCTAAGGTACACCCAATATTAGATCACCTCTATTTAAGAGACGTTTTTTTTAATTGGGCTAATTACTGGCTGGGACTTTTTCTGATACTCTCTATTTAATATACACCTCATTATAAGATAAAAGAGTCAACCTCCTCATTATGATACCCCCATATTGCTGTATCGTTATTTATAATATTGGTTATAATATAATATTGCGATACCCTAAATTCATGGTACACTTTATTGTACACTTCAATTTTCTAACCCCGATTGTGAAACTCTTATAATGAGGTCTGACTTTCATTCGGAAATTTTTTGGGCAGAATCTTATTATTTTTTTTCTTTTTCTCATTTTTCTTTTTAATTTTTTAGATGGCAGGCAGAGCAGGAAGACGTGGCCTTGATTCTACCGGAACTGTCATAATCTTGGCTAAAGGTTCAGAACCTCCCGATATTAGTTCTTTAACATCGATTTTAAAAGTAAAAAAATTTTCTAGAAAAATTGAAAAAAAATTTTTTTCAGGGTAAACCAGTCAAACTTGAATCACATTTTCGTATAACTTATAGTATGATGCTTAATCTTTTGCGTATTGAAGAATTAAGAATTGAGGTTTATTTTGGAAATTAAAATTATTTTTTTTTAAATTATTTTTTTAGGATATGTTGTCCAATTCGTATGTGGAAAGTGCTTCTTTACGTATGGTTGTTCAACGAAAGGAACGTCTTAAAAAGGTTTTTTGGAATTTTTTATCTTTTTTTTTTGAAATTATAAAAAATCTAAAATTCTTTTTTTGGAAATTTTTGAAAAATTTTTAAAATTTTGCATCTAATTTAAGAATTTTAATTCGAAAAAATTTTTGAAAATTTTTTTCAAAATTTTCAAAAATTTTCGGAGAAGTTTTTTAAATCAAAAAATGTCAGAAAATTTTTTTGAATTTTATAAAAAATTTTTGGAAATTTTTTTTATAAAATTCTCTATTTTGCGGCTTTTTTTAAAAATATTTTAAAAAATTTTTGAAAGAAAAATTTTTAAAAATTTTCTGAGAATATTTTTAATTAAGAAAATTTGCAAATTTTTTTTTTGAATTTCAGAAAAATTTTTTACTATTTTATAAAATTTTCTATTTTGGGGATTTGAAAATTTTCAAAAATTTCTTAAAAAAATTATTTTTCCAGCTTGAAGAAAACATTTCAGCATTACCCCAATTAGAATGCTCTAATTGCAATCCCCCACCAAACGGAAAAGTGGACACAACATTATTGGGTTATTTCAATTCCCTTATAAATTATTACAAAACAACAAAAGAATTGTGGAATTTGTTAATTTTAAAAGGAAAAGAGGCCAAATTATTTACAATGGGAAGAGTTTTAATTATTCATTATCCGCCACTTGGAATTGCTGGAAGGCTAGCTGTTGTTTTGAGGGTTTGTTTTTATTTTTTAAGGAAAATTTTTTTTGAAATTATACTATTTTGGGAATTTTTGAAAATTATTTTTTAAATTTTTTTTGGAAATTTATTTGATATTTCTGTGGTAAAAAATTTTCGAAATGTCAAAAAAAATTTTTTTTTGAAATCTCCAAATTAAAAAAATTTTTTTTGGGCTTTTTGAAATTGAAACTTTCGAAATTTCAAAAAAATTTTTTTTATCTTTATATTTTTTAGAATTTTCGGGCTTTCTGAAATTTTTATTGAATTTTTTTTAATTGAAAAAAATTTTTTTGAGAAATTTTTATTTTTTTGAATTCTTTAATAGGTTTTTGGAAAAAAAATTTTTTTTTGGAATTTCCAAATTAAAAAAAATTTTTTTTTAATTTGTGAAAATTTGTTCGAGAATTATTCGTTAAATTTTCTGAAAATTTTTCGAATTTTCAGAAATTTATTTTTTAAATTTTTTTCGGAAATTTTTTTGAAATTTCTTTTGTAAAAAATTTTCGGAATGTCAAAAAATTTTTTTTTGAAATCTCCAAATTTTTTAAAAATTTTTTTGAGAATTTTTATTTTTTTTTCCAGTCTATAATTGAAAATGGTAGACTTGCTTTAACTTTATTCATACCAACTTCAACCACTTCTGCTGCCAATGATGTTAAACTAAAAGCTTTTAATGCTTTAAATAAAGAGGTTTTTTAATTTTTAAGTAATTAAAAAATTTTTTCTTCTTTGAGGAAAGACGTTCGAAAGCAGAAATTGGATTGTTAGAACATGCTCTTTTACACGGAATTGATGGTTTAGATGTAAAAACATTTTCGGAATATACTCCATATACAATTTTGGAAACAACTTTGGATTGGTATAAATTAAGAATTTTTTTTTTGATTTTTTAAAGATTTATGAGAGATTGAAATTAGGGTTGGACACACCCAGTTTATTAACCGGTATTAACCCAATCAGTTATTATTAGCCCTTTGTTGACCCTCATTTTTGGTTCCGGTTAATTGGGTTAAAACACATGGTTCGGGTAATTGTTTAAGTCCACTCCTATTATGTAGAGATAAGTCATCTTTTCAGTTAAGAAATTTTTTTTTCTAGAGAATTCCTTTCAATTAGGGTTGTTTATGACCGGTTTTAAACCGAAAATTTTTATATTTTTTGTCAAGAATTAACCGTTTTTACACAATTTATTGAAAATTCCTTCAAAATAAAATTGGTATTTAATCTAAAACTCAACAACCTTACTTTCAATTAAAATTACTTTCAATAATTTTTTGTTTTTTTTTTTCGAAAAAAATTTTTTTAATTGAAAAAAATCTTTTTTTAAATTAAAGAAAAATTTTCTTTTAAAGCCTATTAGCAGTCTGTAAACGTACAATACCAAAGTTAGATGCAGAAGCAATAAATCAAGAATATCAACGTTCCAAACAACCATCAAATCGTTCAAATTCCCCTGACAGAAATATAAAAAAAATAATTTTTGAATTAAATCAATTATCAGAAAAAATTGTAAAAAATCAAAAAGAGGTGGAGGAAGAAGAAGAAGGGAATAACAAAAAAATAGATGAATTTGTACATATTTTGGGAATGGATTTGGATAAAAAAGAAATAAGTTTAGTTGAAAGTTTGAGGGTAGTTTTGTATCAAAGAAGAGAACTTGTTAATCCAACTGTTTATCCTTGTATTAAATGCCCTGATATTATTGAACATGTTGGTGGTTTTTAATTTTTTAAAATCTAATAATTCTGATTTTTTAAATTAATTTATTCTCATTTTTAATTCTGAAAATTCTGATTTTGATTCTGATTTTAACTCCCAGAATTCTGATTTTTAGTTAAAAAATTCTGATTTTCATTTAGATTTTTCCTGATTTTCTCTCTTAAAATTCTGATTTTTTAATCCAAAAATTCTGATTTTTAATTAAAAAATTATTATTTTTATTCTGTTTTTCTCCTCAAAATTCTGACTTTCTTTCTCAAAATTCTGATTTTTACTCCAAGAATTCTGATTTTTTATTCCGATTTTTCATTCAATTTTGAATTTTATTCTGATTAATTTTCTTAAATTTCTGAGATTTAATTTTGAATTCTGATTTTTATTCTGATTTTTTCTCTTAAAATTCTGATTTTTGTTCTAATTTTTTCCCTAAAAATTTTGATTTTTATTCTGATTTTTACTCCAAGCATTCTGATTTTTAATCCTAGGATTCTGATTTTTTATTCTGATTTTTCATTCATTTCTGGTTTTTTTGTTTCTTAAATTTCTGATTTTTAATTTTAAATATTCTGATTTTAATATTTAACAATTTTTAGATGAATCTAGTCATAAATAGACGCCAAATGGAACAAACCATACAAACACTCGTTCACCAAACCTCTTCACATTCCATGTCTGAAGAATCAGCAGGCCGTTTAAAAGTTTTGAGAACACTTGGGTACATTGATCGAGAAAATGTGGTTGAATTAAAAGGAAAGATTGCATGTGAAATTAGTAATCAGGTAGGGGAATAATAATTCTGATTTTCGAAATTATTAATTCTGATTTTTAAATCACAAATTCTGATTTTAAAAATGCAAATTCTGATTTTTAAAATGCAAATTCTGGTTTCTTAAATACAAATTCTGATTTTAAAAATACAAATTCTGATTTTTGAAATTACAAATTCTGATTTTAAAAATGCAAATTCTGATTTTTAAAATGCAAATTCTGGTTTCTTAAATACAAATTCTGATTTTAAAAATACAAATTCTGATTTTTGAAATTACAAATTCTGATTTTTAAAATGCAAATTCTGATTTTTAAAATGCAAATTCTGGTTTCTTAAATACAAATTCTGATTTTAAAAATACAAATTCTGATTTTTGAAATTACAAATTTTGATTTTTAAAATGCAAATTCTGATTTTTAATGTTTTTGTATTTCTTTTGTATTTTTTCTACAGGAACTATTAATTAGTGAATTAATTCTCGACAACAAATTTCAAGATAGAAGTCCACCAGAAATTGCAGCAATGTTTTCAGCATTTACGTGTCAACATGGAAGAAATACTTCTAATAGTATTAGAAGACATAATTTGAATTTTAATAAAATAAATTCAAAAAATGGTTCAACTTCACAAAGTACAGAAACCTCAATAAGTAATGAAAGTCAACAACAACAGGAACAAGTTGAAAGAGTGCCTATTGAAATTTTGAGAGAGGTAAAGGAGAGAGATGTTCCCTTCAGACCCACTATATGTTCCCTTCAGACCCACTATATGTTCCCTTCAGACCCACCACATGTTCCGTTCAGACCCACCATATGTTCCCTTCAGACCATGTTCACTTCAGACCACAGACTAGTGTATAAGGAACACACATTGTTCTTCCTTGAGGAACAGCTCAGTTGTCCGTAAGGGTTTTTAACTACATATAGGGTAGCCTATGTTCTTTTCGGACTACAACCTAGTGTGAACGGCCCAAATATCTTAAACCTTATTAAAAATTTCGTCAATCTTTGTCGAGCTGTGAGTCTTTGATTACCAAATTGAAGATACCATGCCCTCCAATTCTCGAAATTATTTTTTTAAATTTATAGCTAGAGACAGACTTAACTGAAACTGCCATACGTATTGATGACGTCCAAAAGGAATGTGGTGTTTTTAACTCACCTGTGATTGAAGAATTGAAATTTGGATTGATGGAAGTTGTCTATCAATGGGCGAATGGATTGGTGAATTTTTAAAAAAATTTTAAAAAGTGGTCATTTATACATACCTCCCATGTTCCCTTCGGACTACAGACTAATGCGTAAGGGACATGCATCTTAAACATTTTATTCTGATTATAACTTACAAGTTCTGATTTTTAATTCTGATATCGCTCCCATATTTCTTTTCTATTTCTCCCCATGTTTTTTTCGGACTACTGACTAGTGCGAAAGGAACAAACATATACATTAATATCTATTTCTTATTCAAAATTCTAATTTAAAATTCTGATTTAAAATTCTGATTTAAATTTTGATTTTTAGTTCTGATATCGCTCTTTTATTTTTTCTTGATTTCTGTCCATGTTCCCTTCGAACTACAGACTAGTGCGAAAGGAACAAACATTTTTTATTTTTTTAAAGGAATTCTCCAAAATAATGCAATTAACTGATGCCCAAGAAGGTATAATTGTAAGATGTATTCAACGTTTAGATGAAGTTTGTAAAGACGTTAAAAAAGGTGCAATGATTATTGGAAACCCTGAACTAGCAGAATTAATGGAAGAAACTAGTAATGCTATTAGACGTGATATTGTTTTTGCAGCAAGTTTATATGTTACAGAGGCTGAGGCGAATGAATAATTTTATTTTTTTAAATTTTATTATCATTTTAAAAAATTTCATTATATAATTGAGAAGGGTTTGTCTACTATATATTAGATATTTTATAGACAAGCGGCGGGGGGGGGGGGTCTTATAATTGTAAAATGATCGGAATAAGGGTAGAGGTGAATCGGAAATGACGAAGGTGCCGGAAATCTGAACTATCGGAAATGGCTCAAAAGTCGGAAATTAGCCTAAATTTTTGGAAATCGCTAGGAAAAAAAAATTCTTTAAAATGTTCCCTTCGGACTACAGACTAGTGCGAAAGGAACAGTCGGAAAGCCTGAAGTCGGGAAACGCCGTAAATTGGAATTCCGATTCACCTCTGAAGAGGGGTAGGGAGGGAGTCCCTTTTCATCTTTCTCAAAGTTGCCTTTCATCATGTTTTGCTTTTTATTTAAAATCTGTTTCGGCACACCTTCCCAGTTTATAAGATATCAATTACGCAACCTCATTTAAATATAATTTTGTGATTTTATTACAAATTTTATCGAAATTTTTTTTCTTTATGTTATATAAAAATCTTGGTTTTATATACTTTACTTGAAAAATTTTTAAAATATCTTTCAAAATTTTGCAAAATTCTGGTGAAAGTTTTTCTTCACTCTAAAAAACTGTTGTTGTCCTACTTTTAATATTATATTTATTTTTTTCTCTGTTATATTTAGTATGTTCATGCTTCTATTGTCTCGTCTTTTTTTTTATTAAATAATAAGCTTAAGCCGATTTAGGGCCTGCGCGAATATTATACATTTTTCTTTATTGTACAAAATATTTTTTGAAAATATCTATTCAATAGAAAGATTGCACAATATGTACTATTTAAATATTCTTTTTTATTGTTTGAAATTTTTAATACAATTTATGCAATCAGACCTCATTCTTATGTACCAAGGATCATGCCGTTCGAATTCTCCAACGTTTTTTAGTTCCAGGAATTTTTGATGTCCTAAATTACCAATTTCCATTTCGGCAGGATACCTGTTTTGTATAGGAGCCGAGTTCCCTTGGGGCTGAACATAATATACGAAAATTAGGTGCATGCATTATTGTGGATATTGCTTAGATAGCTTCCCCAACCCTGTGGCCACTTCCAAGCATAGAAAATATTTACTAAAATGAGGAGTACACTTTAGTGAGTGTTCATATAAATGAGGTCCGATTGTAGTTGTGCATAGGCTTTCCGATACCCAAAAATCCAAAACCCAACCAATTTTCAGTCCAAAATCCTACCCATCTTTTTTTCTATATTGTTGTTGTAAACCTTTTTTCTCTATATCCCTGTTGGTATACCTTCAATGTATATTTTTTTCAAATTCCATTAAATTTTTTATTCTTTTCGGAAATAAAATTTATTGTTTTTTTATTTGTTTGTAAAAGTATTTAACCTCTCCCTCAATATTCTCTCGAAAAAAATATTTTTTTTTTTGCGCAACACACAATATTTTTGTTGTTTTTGTATTGAGGATTACCCCATTATTGTTATAAAATTGAGGGGAAAAACAAGTTTATTTTTAATATTTAGTTCAAGGCTTTTCTGGAAATAGGGACATTTTATTTTTTAAAAATTATTTTAAAAAATTGCATCATATCCCCAATAATTTTTTTTTATTTTCTATTAAACTTGAATTTCAAGTTGGAATTATTTTAATGCCATTATCTGCCTTTGAAAAATATTTTCATCACCTCGTTGCAATGCTAGTTATTTATGGTCCTTTTACTTATATTTTATGGCTATTTGAAATTTTGTATATTATTCAAAATTAGATGCTGCAAATATTTTAATAAGCCCATCTCTAATATAAGCCCAAGCAAAATGGCCTATTGAAAAATATAAGCCCAGGGCTTATATTAGAGGATTTACGGTATTCTGAAGATTGGGCATTCTGATTCCTTGACATTTCGATTATTTGACATTTTGAACTTTTTCTACCCCCTAGGTTATCCATCAGTTGCTCAACATACATTTAATCACTTCCTTTCGCCCGATGACTTTCGTTATAAAATTGATTCTGAAACCTTTACATTCTTAACGAAATTAGATTTTGAAAATGCCAGGAAATATAAAGAATTAATTGGTAAGGGGTTAAATTTACTTGAATGATAAAATTTTAATTAAGAGGTAAAGTCTAAAAGGAATAATATTTTAACTCAACAAAGGCATTATAGAGGTGATATACACGGAAAGGCTGCATGGAGGGTAGATAAAATTTCCAGAATTAAAAAAATCCCTTTAAAGAAACGAGGAAATTCAAATCACCCCGCTAATACTCGCCGCTACAACGGAGTTTCTAGTTCAGTCAAAAAATGGAACAATGGACGTATTCCTTATATTCTGGGCTCGGATTATACACCTAGAGAACGTGCTGTACTAGCTAGGGCGTTTCAGGTGGTTATTCTGGTGTTTTATTCTGAAATTGAATGAAATTCTGATTTGAAATTCTGATTTTAGTTTTTGAATTTCTGATTCAAAAACAGAACAATTCTGATTTTCTGACAAATTCTGATAAGAAATTCTGAAAAATTCTGATTTCTGAAGACAATTCTGATCTTACAAAAAATTCTGATATTCAATTCTGATTTTTAAAGAACTAAAATTCTGATTTTTATTAAATTCTGATTTTCTTTCATAGGAATACCAGAGCAGAACATGCATTAGATTTGTACCAAAAACAGAATCTGATATAGATTTTCTTTACATTGGGAAAATAGACGGGTTTGTAATTATTTAAGCTTAGCTAAACATGCAAAATTTATGAGCGTTTAAAAAGCTGCAATTTAAGACTTAAAAATTAAAATTTAAAAAGGTGTTATTCTGACGTGGGACGTGCCGGAGGAAGACAGGAATTATCTCTCGATGATGGATGTCTACATTTGGATACAGTAATCCACGAACTTGTCCGTTTAAGAATTATTTTTTACTCCTCTATTATGGGACGTTTCAGTGCCAAATACAGTAGTCTTCGAAGGAATGAGAGACTTGAAATTTCCATAAAGGGCAAATAAGGAGGAAAAGTTCTGATTTTCTAATCGAGAATTTTCGAGTATTTTCTGATATTTTATTTTTGAAAACTAGGGAAAGAACATTCATATTAATAAAGGTAGACCTCGTTATAAGATAGCTTTTTGAGGACGGAAAAAATTGTAACTTATAAAGAGGTGTATCTTAAAGAGGGTTAAAAAAGAGGGTAAAAAAGGGTTAAAGAGGGCTGATTATTAAGCATTAAAGATCTTACTTTTATTGAGGTGTATCTTAAATAAAATGGACGGGTTTGTAATTTACAGCTTGGCTAAACAAGCAAAATTTATGTGTGTTTAAAAAGCTGCAATTTAGTGAAAATTAATTTTAGCTTTTTTAGATGCATTCTGTCGGTTTTTATCACGAACATGAACGTTGGGATAGAGATAATTACCTAATTATTTTATGGCAGAATATTGATAGAGGTGAGGGAAGGACTTATAATTTCTCAAAAAACAAGTTCAGAAGCTGTAGACCAGTTTGGACGTGTCGACCTCCTCGAAAGTAGCGTGTATGGCCAAAAATATGGTTAGACCCCTTCAAAAATAAAATTTACCAAAATGACATTTTTACCCAAGATTACAATTCAATAATGCACTATGACAGTCTAGCCTTCAGTAGAAACGGGAGAGAGACGTTGGTGGCCAGGGAACCGGAAATGACTAAAGTTGGGAAAGGAAAATTTTTTTAAACGAAAAAATTTAAGGTGATGGGTTCAGCTACAGATTTTAGTCAAACAGAGTAGGTTTTTGCAATATTTATTTTTTATTTCAATTTTAGTCTGGCCAAAATTAGAGGAATGTATCAATGCGTTGTGAGTTTTTGTAAAAAATAGAATTTGAAAATTTGACGTTTTGAAATGTAGGGCATTTTTGGAAGATGGACATTTTTGAAATTAGGGTATTTTAGGTATTTGACACTGATACCTAACACTTGACATTTTGAAAAAATTAAGATGATGGGTTCACTAGGATATCGACATTTTAAATCCCTCCACTAAAATGTTTAAATTCTGCTTAATATATAAAAATTTAAAAAAGAATTTAACTAAGTTAATATGGGGATAGCATGTTTAGGTTATTTATATAAGTATAGGTTAATTTTTGGGACGGGGTTAATCGTAGTTTAACCCTAATAACCTTAATTATTTTAGGTGGTATAATAACTGAAAATTTTACCCTAACAGAAAATTTTCAAAAAAATTTTTTTTCAAAATTTTCGGATTCTTCGACTTCAACGGACTTCGAATTTACTGGCGAAGATAATTCTCTAACTACAGAACCTGCCTTACCTTTATGGCACCCTTTTCCAACAAATTGGTTTTCGCCCTATTTAATGTCTACTAGACCTTTTACAGCCGGAACTCCTTTAAGGCAACAAACTACGCCAATTTTATTTCAAAATAATCTGGAAAATTGGGGTCCTAATAGACTTCCTCAGTGTCCATTCTGGGCAGCTTATTGCAACTTTCCCTTCTATGGACGTCTACTACGAGAATTGTGCCCGCAAACCTGCGCAGCGGCATTTCAGAAATCTGCACTTTCTTATTCTAATTTAAGAATGCAAAATCCAATATTTAATAGGGAAATGAGGCGAAGGAGAAGAAAAAGGTGATACTTAAAGATTCACTGTAGCGTTTCGAGCTTTGACCATTTTTGATGTTTACCATTTCGAAAACTGACTATTATTTAATACTATGAAAAATTTTAATGTTCAATGACACTTTGAAAAGTTTACACTTTTAAATAAATATTAATGAGTATTACGGTATATCTCGTGAGTGCTCATTTTTCTTTCTCGTTCTTGCTCCCCTCTTGATCTGAACAGGCCTTCGCCTCCCAACAGGGTTATCAGGTCCATATCCCGGTGAACGCCCAACTTCTTTGCGTGTATCCTTCTTCGGGCAAGGACAGTAAAGACCATCAGGACCAGGGGCGCCTTTCTCCCCTGGAGGGCCTTCTTTTCCTGGAAAGCCTTTCCGACCTCTCTTGCCAGGTTCTCCTTTAAAATATTTCTTAATCTTTTTAAAATTTATTTTCCCGCTGACATATAACCTCCAATTAAACGTTAATTTTGTGCCAGAAAAATGTTCTCTTCGGACTAAAACATGTTCCTTTCAGACTATGGTATGTTCCTCTTAAACAAATAGATGTTCCCTACAGATTAGAAGGATGTTCCCTTCAGACTAGAAAGATGTTCCCTACAGACTAGAAGGATGTTACCTTCAGACTAGAAATATGTTCCCTACAGACTAGAAGGATGTTACCTTCAGACTAGAAGGATGTTCCCTTCAGACTAGAAAGATGTTCCCTTCAGACTAGAAAGATGTTCCCTTCAGATTAGAAAGATGTTCCCTTCGAACTAGAAAGATGTTCCCTTCAGAAAGTGCCCTTACTTATAGAGAGCCTAATTAAGCAAGACTTAGATACTTAAATTGTTCCAACCTGGTTCTCCACGTGGACCTGCCTCTCCGTTCTTCCCTTAAATTAATTTTATGAGATAAATTGAAATGCCCTCCCTCACCTTTAATTCCATCCTTTCCCCGTGTGCCTCTTCTACCTCCACGTCCTTGTTTCCCTTTAGGGCCCGGATCTCCTATCTCTCCAATTATTGCAGCATTTCCAGGCGTTCCCTTGCTACCTGTCTTTCCTTGAGGTCCTTGACTCCCTGGAGGGCCAGGAGGTCCAACAGGTCCTGAAGGACCGATCTAAGAGAGAAAACAGGTTTAGAAGGATTTTTAAAAATTTACCTGGCCATTCCTTCCAGAGTTTCCATTCAACCCTTCCAATCCAGGCAATCCCGGCAATCCAGGACTGCCCTGCTCTCCTCCTTCACCCCTCGGACAAATTCGACATTTTCTATTAAAATCATACAGAATAGGCAAGAAATTTCCCGGAAGGCCGGGCTGACCAGGAGGTCCAGGCTTGCCTGAAAATTTTTGTATTTTTCAGAAATTTTAAGGAGTTAATGTAAGGTTGGACCCCGACCACGTCTAACCCCGATCTTTTTTTGGATATTCAGACACCCGCAACACCGATCCCAGACGTTTTTGTCGACGCGACTACAACATTCTCACCCCAGCCAACTCCCAACCCCGAACTTTTCTACCCTGAAGGTAGGGGTCCAAACCCTAATTTAAAAAAACACCGTCCATTCCATCCGCCCCTGGCGGTCCACGTTTTCCTTGCCTTCCTGGAGGACATGTATTTTCAATGTTACAAATACACAATTCATTTTTGGGAGCATTTATTGGATGAAATCCAAATGCTGAGTTGGGAAATCGCCTTTCACGGATACGAAAAGAGTCAATTGAAAGCATCAAGTTGTGAATATTCGTCCTTAAAATTTGAAAAAATAATTGAAAAATATCACGATGTTCATTCAGTGAATGTAGAGCTTATCTCTTTAGAATGACATACCATTGGTGTCCCTTCGGACTATGGCATGTTCCACTTAACAGGAATTATGTTTCCTACGGAATACAAACATGCTCTCTTCAGACTATTCATATGTTCTCTTCGGAATATATGTTCCCTCAGTCAAAAGAAGATGTTCCCTTCGGACTGATGACATATGTTCTCTTCAGACGAGATAAGTTATCCTTAGACCTGGACTGGTGTTCCCTACGGACTAGAACATGTTCCCTTCGGACTATGGTATGTTCCATCATAACTATTAAAGGTCCCCTTCGGACAATGGTATTCTTTTCAGACTATAAAATTATTCTCTATGGACCATATGATCCCCCACAATCTCACCAACCTAATATCAAGTTCATCCTTCACAAACTCCTCTCTATAATTACTCAAAATTAAATCCACATCTTTAATTTTCTTCAAAACTTTGATTGTAAATTCTAATCCAATTAACAAACCAAAAATCGAAATTACAAGAAAAATATTTAATTTAAAATAAAATTTATTATTTTTAAGCATTCAAGTAAAAAAAAAGATTTTTAAAAATAAGAATGAACGTCAGAAAAATGAACGATTAAACGATGATGGATATATTTTATTTTTTGGTTTAATCTGAAAATTGTTGTCTTTTTCTTTAAAGGGGTAAATTAATTTTTGTACTTTTATTGAAAAAATCACAGTAAAAAAATTTATGGATAGAAATTTGTGAAATTTGACAATATGAAAATTGACATTATGAAAGTTGGCGAGATTTATAAATTATAAAAAAATATGGTCAATTTTTTTTGTCCGGGTCCGTCCGGATTTTCCGGAGTCCGGTTCCCAAATCCGGGGTTTTTTCTAGTGTTTCACCGGAACCGAAATTTTGACCGGAACCGGAACCGGAACCGGATCCAATTTAAGTTCCGGTTCCCGGAACCGGAACCGGAACTTTTCAAAGTTCCGGCCCGGAACCGGAACCGGAACTTTTAAAAAAATTTTTGCTAGCACATTTTAAAAAATTTTTATTTTAAGTAGGGGTGCGGTTTCGCCAAATTTTTCGATTAAATTCTGCCAAATTCTTCTGTTAATCGAAACGAAAAAAAATCCAAGTTTTGGAAGACCAAATCCCCAGCTATTCAATCCCTGATATCTAACTTGCACAGCTCATTCCCTGGACATCACACCCAAATCCCTCTATATTACCTATAACCCCTTGAACTCACATAATGTAACTCAAAATCCACCTTCATTCATCCAAATCCTTCGATTTACCATACAACTTCCCTTCATAGCGCCGCAGGCGAAAAGTTTGGGATTTTAGGTGAACCAAGGATACAAAATTCTTCCTTTTTAAGCGCCGCAGGCGAAAATTTTGAGAATTTTGTGACCAAGTAGCTAGATTTCTTCCTTTTCTGGCGCCGCAGGCGAAAATTTTGAGAATTTTGGAAGGCCAATCGGGGAATTTGTCGTCGTTAAGTGATATATGTGGATTAGAGTGTAGTGTATAAACGGATTTGTCGGATATAACTGTTTGATATCGGGCGATAAAAAGGTTCTGTATTGCAAGAAAATCCCATATCTACCTACTCAATTTCTCGATATCACTATTTATAAGTAACTAAGATTCACTATTTATAAGTAAACTAAAAATTTTAAGAAATTTAGAGGGTTCTGAGTTTTTTTCTTGAGTTCTGAGTTTTTTTTAACGAAACTCAAAACTATTATATATGTATATATATATAAATGATATGTTTACAGGAATTTTTGTGGATTTTTCGAACCATCCCTAATGTCGAAAATCTTTAGTTATATAAGTGCGCGTATACTTATGAAACACCCTATTTTGGTAAAAATTTAAAAATAAAAATAAATTACTGAATTTTTCAGGCAAATTGTCCATAGATCTTATTGTTTAGTCAATTTATATCTTATAAAAAATCTAGAAGATATTGACATAAGTATAATGACGGAAAAATCGAAAAATTTAGGTGCGCGTATACTTTTGAAACACAGTGTAAGTTTTTAAGGAAAGAAAAACATGCAAATTAATTGTCCTATGCCTCGGAAGCGAACTCATCTTTAAATAATTCACGCCAAGGGTGAAGTCTAACACCTTAACCACTCGGCCACCCGTTTATATTAGGTCAATTGACAGAAAATAAACATATTTCTTTCGATTTTTTTTAATACATAAGCATGAGAGTACGAGTAGTTTATTAATTTTTCTAAAAAAATCAATCTTTAGGGGTGTAAAAAATTTCCGGTTTGCCCGGAACCGATTTGAAAACCGGAGCCGGAACCGGAACCGGAACCAATTTGAGTTCCGGTTCCCGGAACCGGAACCGGAACCAAAAAAACACCGGAACTTTCCGGAACCGGAACCGGAACTTCCGGTGAAACTCTAGTTTTTTCGTGATAGCCGGATTAAAACCGGAACGGATTAATCCGGAAAAATGCGACATATCCATTCCGGCTCAAGTAACAAATCCGGAATCAAGATTCGAAATAAGGGCACTAATGATCAATAGTGCCAGGAGCCGGACCGGATACGTCCGGATTTTTTCGGAGTCGGGTCCAGAATCCGGATAAATTCTGTCAGCTCTTATGATCAAGGACCTGTCTAGAATTTTCAGGGTTTTAAAAAATTGTCTTTGATAAAATAATGTTCCCTTCGGACTATAACAGTGTGAAAGGCCCAAAATTACTATTAAATGTAAGATATTTCTTTCAATTCTACCAATTTTTTTGATATTGTGATGCATGTATTCTGGCTCTAGCACTTAAATTTACTTGTCTTTCAATAATCACAATCTTTGTTTGAATTGTTAATTTCCGCCGTAGATATAAAAATAAAGTGACATTGATGAGTGTGTAGAGGGTTTCGCCCTGAAAATTGGAGGGATTATTAAACAGGGATTTCCCATGTTCCCTTCGGACTACAGATAGTGTGAAAGGTTCAGAATTACTAAGCAAATTACATTCTGTGATAGCGACCTGATCTTTATTAAAGATGAAAGGTCGCTTATATTGAGATTTAACTGAATTTTATTTCTTAAACCTCAGGGCCATCGTCTGGTGTCCAGGAGTGATAAAAAGTCGCTTATAACGAATTTCCCTGTAATATTGGGGTCATTTTACCAAGGACAGTTGACTTATCCATTAAGAATATGTTCTACATATCTGTTTGGACTATAGCTATGTTCTCTTCGGACTACAAATGTTCCTTTCAGACTACAGCTATATTTACTTAGGAATAGACCAGTCCGAACGTTTTTCCGTCCATTTTTAAAAGTCGCTTATAATGAACTTTTAATTTTCTATAATAACTAAGTCTATAATAATGAGAGTTGCTTACCAAACGTCCAACTTCAACAGCAGCTGCATAGGCTAACCCATCAGAATTATCAAAAATCATTTTTAAAGTGACATAAATAATTAAATAAATTGTAAATAAAAGTGAATGGCTGGCAGATAGAGGCAAAAGAAGTTTGATGGAGATTGCATTTTCTTTTAGCTGGAAGGATTTTCGGAGGGAATAATCAGCGGATTTACTGAAAATTTTTAGAGAATTTTGACAATTTTATTGTTTAATTTTGGATGGAGAAAGAACGTTTGTTCCATTCGGACTAGGACAATGTTCCCTTCGGAATAGGACAATGTTCCCTTCGAACTAGGACAATGTTCCCTTTGGACTCGGATTATGTTCCCTTCGGACTAGGATAATGTTCCTTTCGGATTAGGAAAATGTTCCCTTTGGACTAGGACAATGTTCCTTTTGGACTACTTCCCTTCGGACCATGTTCATTGTTCTCTTCGGATAATATCATGTTACCTCCGGACTGGGTTCTATGTTCCATTCAGACTCAAGATTCTCTCTCCGACTACATCATGTTCCCTTCGGACTATGTTCTATGTTCCCTTCGGACGGACTAATGCGAACGGATTTTTCAATCTCTTTATAAAACCCGAATTTAAAACCTACTTAATTTCCTGTCTTTTATTAATCTTGTATAGCACAAATTCGACAAGTACAGCCATAAAATCCAACCCCATTAATATACAAAACATTATAACAAGTCTAGAGCTAGAAAGATTCGAAGACATGCAATAAGCCTTTTCATTAAATAAATCTTCTTGATGGAATATCCATAAATTCCAAATTGTCGGAATTATAAAAATAGGGGCAAGTAAAAATATTCCCAATTTAAAAGTAAATTGTTCATAAGTATGGATACGTGCTGTAGCTATTGTTCTTTCTATACACATTGCTAAATGGGTAAATGTGAAGCCGGCAACTGAAAGGAAAAAATTTGTAAAATATGGGCGTTTATTGGAGAGTGGATAATATTAGAGAGGTATTCCAAGAGAGATCTCTTATTAGAACTTGGAGCAGAAGGAGCTAATTAAAAAAGTTAAGGATAAAATAAACTATATCCATGTTCCCTTCGGACTACAGACTAGTCTGAAGGGAACATGAAGTTTCAGAATTATTGAAATTCTTTCAGTTATTAGGTTTTTATTGATTATTGAGATTTTATCAGTTATTGGGTGTCATTTAATGCTGGGTTGATTTAAGAGATTTGAGGGAAATATGTTCCGTTCGGACTACAGACTAGTCTGTAGGGAACAAGAAGTTTCATAATTATTGAAATTCTTATCAGTTATAAAGTCTTCATCAGATATTGGGCTTTAATCAGTTATTGGGCGTCATTTGATTGTGGAGTCTTTTGATAGATTTGAGAAAATATGTTCCCTTCGAACAAAAGAGTAGTCCGAAGGGAACATGCTCGTTCTTAAGGATCCTCCCTTAAAAGGGCGATTTTGATCAGTTATTGGGTCTTCATTGATTATTGAGATTTTATCAGTAATCAAGTGTCATTTGATGCTAGGTTCTTTTAAGAGATTAGAGAAAAATATGTTCCCTTCGAACTACAGACTAGTCCGAAGGGAACATGCTCGTTCGTAAAGATCCCTCTTAAAAGAAAGAGAGTGGAAGGATATTTTTCAATCTTTTACCAGTTATATAAGCTGTCATTCTTAGTGACACACATTTCCACGTAGTTAAGGTATATATGCAATCATTGATATTTGAGATATTATTAGGTAGATGAAACAATATGACGTAATAAAAGTGATTTGCGAAGATAGCTATTGAGTGTAGACAATATAAGATTAATGCGCCTATCAATACGATCTGAAAAGTTGATGATAAGAATTATGGGACAGAAGATCACTTAATTGCATTATTTAGTTTTGGGGTTAAGACGGGGACCAGCTTTGATCAATTATCACTTTTTAGGCTTGATCCGATCCTAATGAATTTTATATCATTTGAAAGCTCCCTAAGAAAGCTCTCTTTCCAGCTTGAAAAAAGTTAATGGTTATCGAGAGGTTTCTACAATCTAGAGTTCATTCAGATGGATCATGGCTAAGAACTTTATAGCCGAACAGATACTGGCTGGCACCCTACTGGCCTGTTCCGCGGAAATCATTTAATTTGAAAAATGGGCCAAAATGTCATTTAATTAATTAAAGCG